TCCGAATTGAGTAAACGACAATTACGAAAAGAGGGGTCGACATCTCTTTTCTTAAGCCCTCAAATTGGCTTTTACAATCTTTGAATTCGAATTCGAAATTGGTTGTAAACAGCGTGCTCCAACCTCTAATGTATTTCAACACGAGGCTTGTGCTTGAGGTGTTGGGCTGAGGTGTTTGGTATGTTAACGTGCTGAAAATAGACCTTCTGTAGGTCAAGGTACTGAGGGAGTTAAGTTAGTGTACTGAAAAGTGAAACAAAGTACTGAAAAGTAGATCAGAGTACTAAACAGTAAGTCAACATACTATGAAGTAAGTCAAAGTACTGACAGAGACAAATCAGCGTACTGAGAAGTACGTCAACGTACTATAAAGTAGACCAAGGTACTAAAAAACAGAATAACATACTGAAAAGTAAATTATCCTACTAATAGGGTTTAATCAGCGCATTAAAAAACAGATCAACGTAATGATCTGCTTTTTAGTTAAGTAGTACTAAATCGCACCTTCATTACTATGTAGCACGGTTAGTACTATTTAACAAGTTGGGTACGAAATAGCACTTTTAGTACGTGCTTTTATTACTAAATAACATATTCTGTTTTAAAAAGCACTTTTAGTAATAATATAGCATCATTAGTACTGAACAGCACGTTTTTTACTAAACAGCATGTTTTGTGCTGAAGAGCGTTTAGTATTTAACAAGCAGAACCTTTAGTACTTAATAGGACTTTTCATAGTAAATGGCACAGCTAGTACTAAATAGCACGCTTAGTATTAAACAACTTAACAATAGTACTCAAGAGCACTTTTAGTACTAAAATGTATGTGTTGTACAGTTAGTACAAAACAGCACGCTACTGACAATTAAAAATCTAAAATTTATACCGTCAGCCTCACAAATTTACCACGTCAAACTTGTTCAACAAAAACCTTGTATGCTACAAACGAATGTGGTGCTGTGAAATCGTACTGTCAACAACTTTTGTTTGCATCGTTTTTTTTTCGTTTCGGAAGCACGAATAAACTTGTTTTTGGAGGGTAATTTTCGCATACTTGAATAGTCGGGATAAGGCTATTCACAATGTAGAATGTGGCCAAATAAACCATGAAAATTTTAAAAAAAGGATAGAGAAGTAAAAATAGACACAATCAACTTATTTTTTTACTATTTGTCATCATTTTTGCAAAAAAATTCTTTACAAAACATAAAATGGCAAGAACTTTCTTTACAAAACATAAAGTAGCAAGAACTTTCTTTACAGAGCATATAATGGCAAGAACTTTCTTTACACAAAAAAATGAAATTAACTTTCTTTACAAAGTCACAAATTAGCAAAAAAATGCCTACATACTCCTACACTTACCCATCGCCTTAAAAGCCAAAAAATCAAAACATCCGGCTATGATACGCAGAAAACATCTACATAGTAAATGAAGATCATCAATAAATCATCGTATCTTTTGTGAGTCAGCCGTATCGTGTTCAAATAGCAGTGTAAAAGGCTAATAAGAAAGGGATACCGTGTAAGTAAAAATACGTACGTATAGTGTACTATGATTAAGGTCATAAACTGAGTACTAAAAGAGGGCTGAATTAAAGCTAAGTTACAGGTACGGTATGGCTACTGTAGAGCTATAACAGTGCTAAATTAGAGCTAGAGTGTTGGCAATGCAAAGCTAGACTAGAGCAACAAGAAGGCTATGGTAAGACTATGATAAAGCAAAAAAAGTTGTTTCAACTACATACATCATCAACAGCTTCAAAATATAAATGTAAGTAAAGAAAAACCGTCCGTTTTATCGAATTTGGCTTGAAAATGACACTTCCGTAATCAGAGTCTAAACCATTACATTTGCTTTTGTAACCTTATATTCAAACAGATTTGGTTTACTTGCAGCTACGTGTTCCAATGGCTTAAAGCTGCAACGTCATTTTAAACACTAGCCTCAACCTTAGCCTTAGCCCAGAGCTCTAGTCCAGAGACCTAGCCCAACACCCTAGCCCAGAGCCCTAGCCCAGAGCCATAGCCCGAGAGCCCTAGCGTGAGAGCCTTAGCACAGATCCCCAACCTAGAGTCCTAGCCCGAGAGCCCTAGCCCTGAGCCCTATCCCAAAGCTCTAGCCTAAAAAGCCCTAGCCCAAAAGCCCTCCTAGCTCACAGCCCTAGCCCAAGCCCTAGGTTTAACCTTACCGTTAGCTCTGACTCTCGCCATGACCTTGCTTTAATCTATCTGTAGCCCTAGCCTTAGCTATGACCTTTTTCTAGTTCTAGCTTTAACTCTGGCTCTAGCCATGGCCTTGTTTTATAATGCCCGCAGAAATTATTGATTATCCCTTTAACGTGACAATGGGTATACCTTAACCCAGCTTTAGTCTTCCAACTTACCCTACCCACAAAAAGCTTTCCAAAGAAAGTAAGACCAAAACTTGAAAGATTATCTAATGTAAACCATGTTAGTTTGTAGTCTTTTTCAACTTCTCAAAATTGTTGAACTGCCTCCGGAAATTACGCTGTTTTCTCAGAACAGAGGTTAAACGTTTTAAAGTTTTTTTTTTAATTTTAATCTTTGACTTGAAATCAATTAAAAATTTTTAAAAATTTTTTAAAAAATCAGTCAACCAGGCATAATATACTACGATGAAAAACATCAGCTTTTTAAATTTAAATTTTTTTATTATTTTTCATGATTTTTGACAAAACTTTCTTTACAAAACAAAAAATTACAAATAATAACAGCCAGCGTATAAGTTGTCACCTGCAGACTGCAAAAGCCAAAAAGAGTGTTTTTTTTTCAAAATGGCAAGAACTTTCTTTACAAAACATAAAATGGCAATAACTTGCTTTAAAAAGCTAAATTTTTTTTTAATTTACAAAAAAAAATTTTATTTTTTAAAAATTAAAATTTGTGAAAAAAATATTTTTGATCTTTTTTGTATTAGTAACCCTACCATGGCTTGATTTTATCTCCAATCCCAGAGATTTCTCGTCCCTTCCTGCCATTTAGTTTTTCAGGCGCCATTAAAGCGCGTCAGTTGGCGTTGGACACAGCTCGATGCGCGAAAAAACTATATTTTTATGCAAATGTTGTGCCATTCCCCCTGTTTTGCCAGATTTTTACGTTCTTTTCTTGTTTAATACTTTCATTTTTCTTTCTTTTTTTTCTTTTTTTTTAATGTGATAGTGCGATAGATTACTTTTAGGCTTATATTTGGGTTAAATTAAGATTTAGGTGGACAAAGTAGAGCTGCGCAAGACTAAGCTTTTCCTTGAGTAGAGTAAGAGTAGAGTATGGGAAGGTAAAATAAGACAGAAAAACGTAAGACAAAACAAGGTAAAGTAGTCTAAAGTAGGATAAGAGTAGGGTCAGAAAAAGCAGAGTATGGCAATGTAGGATAGAGTAAGATAGAGCAAAGCAAGGTAGAGTGGAGTATAGTAAATTAATTTAATGTAAGTTAAAGTAGGATAAGGTTTTTTCAAGTAGAGTAAGCTAGGGCAGGCTAAGGTAAAATAAAGAAGGGTAGGGTAAGCTAGAGTAGAGCAGAGTAAGGGTATGGTAAAAGAGAGTAGGGTAGGGTAGGGTAGGGTAAGGTAGGGTAGGATAGGCTAGGGTAAGGTAGCGTGAGATAGAGTAAAGCAGTGCAGGGTATTGTACTTATTTTAAAATTTAAATTCTTTTTTTCAAAACCAACATAAATCACAAGACCTATATGACCAAAGTCAACGTAGTCGCGCTCTTAAATAAGGAGAGTTTTGTTTACATTGTAAGCAGAGTTATAAATCCCGCACCCATCTTGAGGACATTTTCTTATTTATTTTTCGAAAAACAGACCAAGTTTTGTACGTTTTCATATTCAAAACTTATCTAAAATTGCTTTTGAACATTTTTAGCTTATATTTAGTATTAAGATGCACTTTTTAATCTGATGCTTATTATTTAAAAGTTACTTTCAATAGAGAACAAATTGATTTTACTAACAAAATTCTTTGTTTGTAAAGCAGAATATTCACTTTTGTTGTTTTTATAACTGCTTTATCGCTTTTCAAATCGTTTTTGAGATGAATTTTAAGACTTTTAGGGAATTTGAACCGTGTTTCAGATTGAATTTTGGCTTGTATTCCAAGTTTTTGATGCCTAAAAGTAGGCTAGAATAATATCTTTTAATTTTACTTTGTTCTGCTTGCAAGGTATTTCTAGCCTTAGCCCATGTTTTATATGTTAAAAGATCGCATTAGGAGTGAGGATATAAAATAATTTTACAATTTTTTAAAATTTCGGATTTTAAACATTTTAAATTTTGAATAACACAGAGGAAATACCCAACCTGCCCCTTTCAAAAACAGCCAAAATTTTATATCGATTCTTCGTACTACCTATAGTACCCATAAAAATTTTTAGCTTACTCTTATAAGTTTTAAAATTTAAATGTTTGAGCTTTCCGTTAATTTAACAGGGTTGGCATTATGTTTCAAGCACTTTTTTTATTTTCCAGGCAAACTACTCTTACAAATTTAAAAATGTAGGTTCATTTAAAGGTATTCTACTAGTATATCAAAGAAAAATAATTAAAAGTCAAAAAATGGCGAAGTTATAAGCTTGAAACACAATGTCAATTAGGCGGGAAATTCAAAACATCATTTTTTGATTTCGATTTTCTCGAGATTACTGGAGAGCGCAATTTAGTACGTTGCTGAAAGTCTTATATTAACATGATCTTTATATATAAAAAGTTTGAAGTCAATCAGGCCGGGGCAGGTCGAGCACTTCTCTTGTAAAGTCTATTGTTAATGTGCTTTTAATGGTCTTAAATTTTTTTTAATTTTTTTATATACTTTTTAGCTTTTGCTATACGATCAAGCTCTTATTATTCCTAAATTTCCCATTTCCAGATGTCAAATCAAACGCCAGTGATAAAACAAGCCCATTTCGGATCAGCCCGATCGTCTTTTCGCTGTCATCGTGACACTTTACAACGACACAGCTTCGCCAGTACTCAAGGGATGTCAAAGTACCATAAACGAGAGTACTTGAGAGAAAGAGACATTATTGACTTTGCTTTGGCACAAGACCTCTTCATGCCCATGTTGGGGCTGGAGAAGGAAGATGATGGCATAAAAATGATCGACGAGATGGATGGAAATGCAGAGTGCAGTACTGTAAGTAATTTTATTTTACCGTATCATATTTTCTTTTGTTCTATTCTACCTTACCCTAACTTACCCTACCCTACCCTACCCTACCCTACCCTACCCTACCCTACCCTACCCTACCCCACCCTACCCTCCCCTACCCTATCCTACTCTATCTTATCCTACCCTACCCTATCCTACTCTATCCTATCCTACCCTACCCGATTTTACCCTACCCTTATATTTACTCTTCTCCGCCATACCCTTACCTATTCTTTTCCTAGCATGCCCTTACTTACTTTTTTCTAGCTTCCTCTTACATTGCCTTAGCCTCATCATATCCTATCTTTTATTTTATCTTTTTCTTTATTACTCTTTTTTCAGTCAAACCACAGCCCCAATGCAACAGTAAACTCAGAAGTACACGAAACAAAAACTAAAAATATTACAGTAAGCTCGGATCGATTTGAAGCCCAAGAAAAACCAATTGACATAGAAGCTATTGCTGGCTATTTGGACACGATTAGAAGGAGTAAAAAAGACCAAAAGGAGCAGAAGAAGAGGGTAAAGGTGCAACCGGCCAAGATCACAACTTCGAAAACTGGTCCAGATGATGCTGGATACTTCACCAACTTCTTGACCAAATTCCGAAAAATCAAAAATTCTAAATCTTGAGGTATTTATCTTATGTACATAGTGGCCGTAATGGTGTAAAAAGTATAATTTGAGCTTTAATCTTAATAAAAATAGTCGTTACAGTCGGCATGGTGCAGTTTTTTTCATTTTACTATGCTAGACGGTTTATTTTTGACCACTCTTCCCCCCCCTTGTTCAAGTAAAACACATCCCCCCCCCCATTTTTCATAAAATTTCACACCCTCCTCCGCCTCTTTTTTTTTAATAACCCCTCCCCTAACCTCACACATTTTCCCATTTTGCCCACCAAGATCCAAGCAACCCCTTATCCGTACTGTAACTTTATTTAAAAAAACAAGAGATCAGTGATAGAGAACATGACATTGACATAATAGTACATGATGACTAATTGTCACTTTTCACCAGCGGCGATTCGAGCTTTGACGAGCGCTTGGTACTGTTGAAAAAAGGTTTTCAGACTCTCCTCTTTGTTCATTACCTAAAACATTAAATTAATATTTTTACATTAATAAGCCTTACTCTGACCTCTCCTGTCCCCCCCCCCCCCCCATAGTTCACTACATTACCATGCCGTAAACCACCTCGCCCTGACGTACTCTAACTTACCATTCTCTACCATACCGCCCCTTACCCTGCCATAACTTACTCGACCGGACTCTTTTTTTGCCCTGCCTTACTTTACTCTACCGTATCTTACCCTGCCTTTACTTTACCTTACCAAACAAAATTTTTAAAAAGCCTACCCCCTTTGAAGTGATAAACGACAACAAAGCCATGTGAATGTAGAGGTATTGCAGATCAGTTTGACATGCCAGGTATCTTTTGGACCGAAGCTTCTTCACAGTTTCAAACACATTCAGTTCTTCTCCCGCCATCAGAGCGCTCCAACAGATTTTGATGGCAGCGATTGTGCCGGTACGTCCTACGCCTAAAAGTCAAATTTTTAAAAATTTACTTTAAGCATCTTGTAAACCATAAAATGATCTATCTGTAGTGGCAGTTTCAAATCTTTATCTGCATTTTTATTGTTAGCCAAGTTATGTTTATTTGAAAATCGCACAAATCAAAAAAAGTTCGTTTCCGCTTGAAAAACAACTGTCCTATTGGTCTTTGACGTACTGTAACATCCGGACCAAACGTCGTATTTTACCAAAACTTGGCAAAAATGTACAAAATATACTGTTCTACAAAACCTATATTCATATTTTGTCAAAAATTCAAAAACTTTTTCAAAATTTTAAATTTTTCTTTAAAAAAAGTCAAAAAGCCTGCTAAATTCCTCAATTTTTTTCATTTTCAAACCTTTTTACAAGCCCAAAACTAGAAAAAATAAATAAGAATATAAAAAAAACTAACCAGCTGAACAATGAATGACAATAGAGTCGTATTTGGAAATCTTCTGAAGCAGTACCATGGCTCCAGAAGCCGTCAACGGCACCGCTTTGTCCGGCCATCCAGTCCACAAGACGTGATTCACAATGTGTTTTCCCACCTTACCGGTCGATTTTTTAGCTGAAAATTTAGTTTTTTGAGGTATGGCAAAACTGAAAAATATTTTTGTAAAAAAATTCAAATTTTTTATTTTAAAACAAAAAACCCTCACCCTCCATCATCAATTGAGTGTAGACCAGATCCTCCTCCGTCTGTAGCCCTTCCTTCTTGCCTTCGACGTTGGTGACGGCAAAGACTTTGCCCTCATCCTTCAGCACTCCACCCTTTTCGGCGGGGAAGTACTGCTCGCACTTCTTCTTCCCATTCTCCATCACCGAACACAACATCACAATGGCTTGACTCTTCTCTTGCCATATCATTCGCCAAAAGTCTTCGACCGTCGTTTGCATCGGGCCTTGGGTTAGGATCATGCCGCCGCGGACGCCTGGAAGAGGTTTTTGATATTTAGGTAACCAATATAACTTCTGGAAGAAGTTTTGTAAATTTAGGTGACAAATATAAAGTTTTTGCTTTGGAAATCACTTTTAATTTTAAAAAATTTAAAAAAATATTAGGTTGTTCAAATAATTCTGTGCCTCCTCTAAAAACACACTTTTGATGTTAAAGGGTACAGAATTATTTGAACCTAATATTATAATACTGCGCATTTCACAAATTCTAGAAATCGTGTCATCACAAACAGGTTTTAGAAAATATGTCATCACGACAGTTCATGTTATACTAAAAAGTTATGATAGAAAGACAAAAAATGACTGATAAGGTCAAGAATTTTACTGGTATATTCGACGGAAAGTTGTAAAATACGCCATTGATATCCAAACCATAAAAAGTTATGACAGCTTTTTCAACAGTTATATGACAAGTAGGTAATAAGAAAAGTTATCAGTATAATCTGTCATTATATAGTAAACTTGGTCGTTTTTACATAAAAAATAAGCCTAATAAGCCCAAAAAAACTTTTTCTTATCAAAAAGCGGTGGCGTGGCTTACCTGGCATGTCGTCAACCCGATTGGCATGAATGTAATCCCCGTACTTTTGGTTGATCATCGGCCATTTCAGCTTGACTCGAGTCTTTTCGACACATGGAATGTCTGAAATTTGAAATCTTTAAATTTTTTAAATTTTAAAATTTCAAAAAAAAGTTTAAAAATTTTAAAAAAATTCTACCTTTGTATCGATTTTTAGTGGGGTTAGCAGAAAAAGTGGTCTTCTCGACCGTATCGGCGGTTTCGGATTGAGCACGAAGGTCGGTGTATTCCTTGAGCAAGCCCTGTAGTCCCAATGCGACAGTCTTTTTGACAAAGTTTGTCATCAACTCTATCAACTTGTCCTCGATCACAACATCAGTCGCCGAGAGCTGATTTGACGCTGACGCTTAAAAATTTTAAAATTTTAGATTCTACCCTACTCTTTCCTATGATACACTACCCTACTCTTCCCTACCGTACCCTACTCTACCCTACCCTACCCTACCCTACCCTACCCTACCCTACCCTACCCTACCCTACCCTACCCTACCCTATCCTACCCTACCCTATCCTATCCTACCCTACCCTATCCTACCCTACCCTACCCTACCCTACCCTACCCTACCCTACCCTACTCTACTCTATCCTACCCTACCCTTCCTACTTTACCGTTTTGCACTCTATTCTACCGTACTTTAACCTACTCTATCTTATCTTACAACAGCTTAACTCTTCCTTACCCTACTTTTTTAGACCCTATCCTGCTCCAAAACATAAAAAATGCCTTACTCATTCCGTTGTTCAATCAATTCAAACCTCAGAAAACCAGCCGTCTTATTCAAAATGTAGTAATTGGGAATGGGCACACACAGTTTTCAAATTTCAAAAAAGTTCAGTTTTTGTCAAATTTATGCAAATTTTATATTTTTTCATGTAAACTAACAGCTTCGAAAAAAATATTTTTTACAGTTTTCAGTTACTAAGTCTTTGTAGGCCTTGCGGTAAACTTATTTTAAAGTTTGTTGATGCTTTATTCTTCAATTGTTTTAAGGTATACAGTCTTCGTTTAAAAGAATGTATGTCTATTAAAAACACGGGTTTTAATGCCTAATTACTTCACAAACATAGCTCAGAACTACAAATGAAGCATGTTTGTCTGAAATAAGTTCAACTTTTGAAAAACATTTTGAAGTCTACTGTGTTAAATAAAAGTACAGTTTGACAATTAGTAAGTAGCTGTCTATTGTCATCAAACACAAACTACACCTCACTAAACACCAACCTCTATTCAAAGTCCAACTCCGACTTTTAAACGATTATTTCTTTTTATTTTATAATACAAACTTAAAACACAAACTAGAAACTAGAAAAACAGGCTTAAAAAGGCCGCCAAAACGTATTTATTTGTAGAAATGGAACACTCCCAATTTATTTTGACTCTTCTTTCGTATATATTGTTGTTTGTTTTTTGATGTTGTTTAGGCTAAACGGCGTGTAAAAATTTTCAAAACGTACGTAATAGGATTTTTTTAATAGGAAAGTAAAACATAATCTTATTGTTTGCATCTCCAAATGAAATTTTAAAACTTTACGTTTGAAGAAAGTTATGTTACATTATTCATGTCTTATCTTAAATTTTTGATATTGTAGTAGGCATTCTTTTGATCATAACTTTTGAATCACAAGTCAAATCTTTAATATTTTTGGATTGAATATGTCAAATACTACTGGCTTTTGGTGTGACAAAGAAAAAAGTTTATATCTTGATTTAATGTACAGTTATGGTAAGTTTTGTTATAAAAAATATGTTAAAGCTTAAGTTTTTTAACCTAAAATTAAATTTTTTTGAAATTTTGAAATTGTAGTTGATCCTGCTTTAGAAACACGTTTTTCCATTATTTATTTTATGTTATTTATTTTTCTTTGCATTGTTTCAATATTTATTGTGTCAGTCTACTTGTGCAGGCTGCGCGAAAGCCCGGGCGCAACATTTGCTTTCCCAAATCTTTCGAAAATTATTTTATTGACTCTTCCCTGATAATTCGTTGTGTAAAATACGATTGTCGTCTTATAAATATTATATTAATAATTTTCTTGCCTTTCAGAACATGTCATACATTGGAGCCAATGTTTTTGTGACCGGAGCCAGCCGCGGCATCGGACTTGGCCTGATTCAACGTTTGGCCGCTCGTTCCGATGTCCAACGAGTTTTTGCTGGAGCGAGAACACCTGAGAAAGCTGAAGTAAGGTCTTGTTTATGTTATTAGAAGTCAGTTATCTGTTTATCGTTGCAAAAAGTTTATGATTGATATTATTTTATATATTACACTGGATGGGTTGTGTAATATTGTTTTCGATGATTTTTTGGGGGGGGGGTTGGGTAAAAAGAGTTGGGAAATGAAATTTTTAAATAAACGATTGTTGTCAAGGTAATGATAGATAAAATACGTTAGAAAATCTTTGATATATTTTATTTCGCGGATATATTTCACTTGACATTGTCTAGTATAACATTGAGTTTTTGGTCCGTTTTCATTTTTGGTAAAATATCGTAAAATACGTTGGTGAAATGCGTACTTTAAATATGATTGTGAAGCTACTTTTACTAAAAACCTAGTCTAAATTTTTATGTTTTTCATTGATTTTACTCTTGCAAGAGCTCTTGATAACGAATGCCTTGTAAAACATCAAGCTTTGGCTTTTTTAACTATTAACTTTTAGCTCAATGCTTTTGCAAATAATTTTTATTTATATCTACGATATTTTTGAAAGCAAAGTTTTGGCCTAATTGGAAAGATTTGTAACAAATTTTGAAATACATCAACCTGTGTCTATGATAATATATTTGTTATTAAAAGTTGTTTTAAAATCACATTTCTAAAATTTATTTACGAATTCTTAAACTAATACATTTTTAGAAGCTTCAAGAAATAGCCAAATCCAACGAAAAGATCAAAATAGTTCAATTCGATTCATTGGACGACAAGTCTATTTATGCTGCCGTAGAGACGGTTTCGGCTGAAGTTGGTGATGCTGGTCTTAACTTGTTGATCAACAACGCTGGTATCTTCCATTCTGATGATACCAACATTTTGGAGCCAAAACGGGATGCTGTTCAGTTGGTTTTTAACACTAATGTCACTGGAGTCGCTATCAGTCAGGCCGTAGGTTTATAAATTGATGTCTAATGTGATAAATTGGTGTAAATGGACTTAAAATGGCCTTAAATTAAAGTAAAGTCTATAATCTTTGATGTTTTGGGTAGAAGATATTTTATTTTTAAATCTGTTCGGCTAATTTTCGAGGAATATTATATTATTCATGAAATCAGATGGTTGATCTTTTCCAAATCAAATTTTGAGTTTTTTTTTCAAGATTAAGATTAATTTAAATGATTACAAAAAGGTTTCGGACTCTCTTCCTAACATTTTTAATATAATAAACCGCATTTTAGGCTTTTCTCCCCCTCCTAAACAAAGCTTCAACTCCAGAACGTCCATCCAAGTTGTTAAACATTAGTTCAGGCCTGGGATCGATCCAAAAGCTAGCTGAATCCATTCAAATCCCTCACGGATCGCTGGCTTATCATTCTTCAAAATCCGCTCTAAATGCCATTACCAAAAACTTGGCCAAAGATGCGGGTGGTCAGAAGATTATCGCTTTGGCCATGTGCCCAGGATGGGTTCAGACTGACATGGGAGGAGCTAATGCTCAGTTGAGTGTGGAAGAGAGTACTACTGCTATTGTGGAAACTGTATCTAAGGCTACAAAGGATTGGAGTGGAAAGTTCATTGACAGAAATGGTGAAACCATCCCTTACTAGAAGATATTGTAGTAGATTTGGTCGATATTTCGAGTTTTTTCGTAAATTTGAGCCTTTTTATAAATTTTTGTAGCCTACAAGTTGTAAACTATCTTTATACATGTTATGCTGAGAAATCATGTTTCTTCTGAATATTTTTTCATTGTAAAAATAAACTTGTATATTATACTTGATACCTAAATGTAGATTAGGCCTAAAGTTTTCAATTTTTCCAAAAATGCTAATGCTGTTTATTCTAGTTTAATCTTATCGTATTCATGTTTGAGGGAGGTTGTGTATGCTAGTATTCCCGAAACTTTGACGCTGTAGTAAAGGAGGACGTTCATCACAACCCACGCGTACTGATCGGCCGTGCCCACTAGTCCTGGGCGTTGTTTGCGGAGTGATTTCAATAGGGATTTTAGCTGAAAATAGTTGCTTTAGCTAAGGCTTTAGTGATGATATTGGAAATTTAAAAACGTTGGGTCAAAATAGTTTTGTCATTAAAAAACGATTGCACGGTGCAAAGATCAAAATTATTCAAAGTACTTGAAGTTTTGAAGCTAAAACCTAAAATAAAACAAAGCAAAACCTACATTAATCTCTTTGCCTTGAGTAACAGCCAGTGCGGCCGCATGATACAGCAAAACGGCACCAGTTCTTCCTTGCCCAAGCCTGCTTATGACAACAACAGGGTCTTTTGCGTTCACTTCCTGAAAAATGTACTTTAAAGTTTAAAATTCTATGGAAGAGTTACAAGGCTTAACAGTTCAAAAAACGGCAAAAACATAACTATGCACAGTTTCAAAGCGTTTGATGCATTACTAGACTTTTTTAATTATGTTTTGCACGGTCTGCTACCGTCATTTTTGAACCGACCAAAAACCCCCCAAAACCCATTGGACTAGAAACGGGGGTATAGCCTATGATGATCCAAATTTCATGGAGATTCTAAATATACAAAAATTGCCTGTGAAGATCCGTGTTAACTTTTTAGATATTTCACTTTTATAATTGTCCGGTCGGATTACGGTAGGTTACGATAACGATAGAAGAAAATTTTCAATTACAATATTGTTTGGCATGGTCAAAAACGTAAATTCACAAATTTTAAGAACATTTGGTGCACTATTGAGTTTTTGGTAAATTTTAACGGTATGTTAACAGAAAATGGCATAAAAGTGCCAAAACGGCATTTTGACCAAAATCACTTTACCAAATATCTTAAAACCGTTTATCTCATCGATTTAGCTAATAAAAACAGGGGGTAAATTTCTAGTGCACATGCCTGTTACAGGATGCTTCACGGTCTCAGAAAGTCTCTTTTAAAAAATAATGATGTATTGTTTTACATAAGCAAATTTTTAAAAAAATTTAACATGTTTAATCGTAAAAGTTTGATATACACATGCATCCAAATAATAATTGAAATTCATAAAAATTTTATGAAAATCAAGTTTTGAACAAAATACCAAAAACTACCCACCATTAATGACGGAAACTGTTTCCAAGCCTTCAAAAAGCCGAGGAAATGTCCGGCTCGTCTCGAGTTCTCCGGCCAGTCTAGACAGACGATGAGGCTGACCAAAACCGAGTTCGAACAGCCTTCTGGCAACACCTCCAACTTGTAAATGATGTAATCCGAGTTCTCATCGACGCGTCGAGTGTTTACAAAAATGTCATTGTAATTGCAATGGTCTGCTAATTTTTTGGGCCAAAACTCGACGGCATCGTTCTCTTTCGGACTTCCGGCCATCAGGACGGTGGAACAGTTCTCTTGGAACACTAAAACAAGGTCTTTGGTGGTAAGTTGGTCAGAATTTGGAACGAAAGCCATAAGGAGTACTCAGGTAAGCATGAAAAATTATTTTTTTAAATTTTACAAAAAAAAAATTTTGAAAAAAATTCACAGGGGTGACCCTGTTGATCTAAAATAATCGTTTTTTAGACATTTTTAATCCTAACTTTTTTCAAATCATAACTGGAAGCCTCAAAATTTGTGAAATTCTTCATTGATCTTTAGGTAACACTTACCCATTCGCCAGAAATCACTAATCGTATGTGGCATGGGAGTTTGTGCCGCAATGAAGGGCCTATCAAACTCGGGCATGGTGATGTAGTTGGCGTTGTAGAAGTCGGTGTTTGGTGGGACGTTGCATGTTAAAACTACTCTGAAATGAACAAATTGTATACTTTATTAGGCTTTATTAGTCTAACATGAGCCATTCTAGTCCTAAAATTCTAAAAATTACACCAAAAATCAATCAAAAACGTTACCTATTGACATCGGGACAAGTCTCGACGTTTCGATTCAATTCTGAATGTATTGTGGCTTCAACAAACGTAAATGATTTTTGAATGGGTTTGCATTCTTTTTTCGCTTCTTCAAACTCGGCTTTGATTCCTGCCATTCCGATCTTACTGTAGCGACTGGCGAATACGGTAAGGGCTTTAACGCCGGCTTCGTTCAATTTTCGTTTACCTTTGACTACAGTGGTGGGTATCGCAGTGCGCTGGTCTTTATCTCTAAGTAAGGTTTGAAAGATTTTAATCAAGAAGTTTGCAAAAGTTCAAAAAGTTCATAGAAAAGGCATTTTTAGGTCAAAAAGTTCATAGAAAAGGCATTTTAGGTCAAAAAGTTCATAAAAAAAGCATTTTTTGGGTCAAAAAGTTTACAGAAAACTTATTTTTAGGTCAAAAAGGTCATAGAAAAAGCATTTTTTGTGCTGAAAATGACGGCAACCTTACCCCATAACAGCCAGAAGTGCTTGTAAGATGCCTCAGAATAAAGTTGTAGATCTCCTAATTGGTAGCGGGCTGGGGAATGCCGCCGCTTACAAAGTTGACAGAATTTAAAAATGACGTTCAACATTAAAAATTTTAAAAAGTTTAAAGAAACTTTTTTGAAATTTAATTTTTTGAAATTTCGAACATTTTTGAATACAAATCTCACCCAAAAAGCGGTCGGTCGAAGCGTTGCGAATTGATTTGACTAGGTCGTGAACAATGTTGATCAAGGTAAGGCTGTTTTGTTTTGTAAAGAAAGTTCTTGCCGGTTTTGGTTTTGTAAAGAAAGTTATTGCCATTTTTTGTTCTGTAAAGAAAGTTGTTGCCATTTTATGCATTTTAAAGAAAGTTGTTACCATTTTATGCATTTTAAAGAAAGTTGTTACCATGTTTACCAAAAACTTGAGTTTTTAAGGTTTGCAGTCTGCAGAAGACAAGTTATACGATAAAACGTGTTTTCCAAATCTAAAATTTTAGGAATACCGTATTCCGATGCCATTGAGCGTGGACGAATATCAACGAGGACAACTGTATTCCGTGTCAGAAGCCAGTAAAAACGAGACCGGAGGTGGCGAAGGTGTTCAGGTAAGTATATTAACCTAAAGCTCAGATTTTTAGGTTGTTAAACAAGAAGCCTTCAACAGTGACAAAGTGAAGCCGGGAACCAAGCTGAGCGGTATGTATACCTACAAGATCTACGGCCTCAAGTCCAAAATGCCGTGGATTTTTCGAAAACTTTTGCCAGAAGAAGCCATGGAACTACACGAGGAGAGTTGGAACGCTCATCCCTACTGTAAAACTGTGGTTACGGTAAGTGGTACTGAAATTTGGAAAAATGGGGAGGGCAGAGTAAGTAGAGTAGGGTAGAGGAGTAAAAGCCAAAATAAGAAAAGCCCAGGCAAGGGCAAGAAAGGGCAAGCCAAGGCATGGCAAGTCAAAAGCAAGGCAGGGTAAGTAAGCTTGTTTATTATATGTTTTTCAGAATCCCGGCTACATGAAAGGCAACTTCCAAGTGATAATCGAAAGCGTGCATTTGGCTGACAATGGATCTACTGAAAACGTAATTTTAAATCTTTTAATTAAAGTTTTAATTCAAAAACTTGTTCTTTTATTGAAATTAAGGGGCTTTCCAGTATGATACTATAAAAAAGTAGGATGTTATAATAGGAAGATATGATTTTTTGTTTTAAGACTGATTTTTCAGGCTTTGGGAATGGATAAATCCGAACTAAAGAAACGTGAAGTGGTAATGCTCGACATTTACAGTGAAGAACATCTAATGCCAAAGGTAAGTAACTTCTAATATATTTCATATCTTTACAATTTCAGGACACCACCGAGACCACCGACCCGCGAACCTTCAAATCGAAGAAAACCGGCCGAGGCCCATTGGCCGAAGGCTGGCAAGAAGGCCACAAACCGCTGATGTGCTGCTACAAACTGTGCCGTGTCAACTTCAAATGGTTTGGGCTGCAAACGAAAGTAGAGAAGTCGATTCACAAAAATTACCCACGCCTCTTCGTCAAATTTCATCGCGACATTTTCATTTGGATCGACGATTGGTACGAGCTGACATTGGAACAGATCCGAAAGATCGAACTGGAAACTGCCGAGCAGCTCAAGAAGCAGATCAAGGAGGGCGAGGTGCGCGGAATGCGCGGGGGATCGGCCGAAGAGCGGAGTGTTATGAAGTAGAGGTGGGAAGTCATTGTTGAGGAATGACCCTACTGTAGTTTTACTGGAATAAACTAGCTTTTCTGACAAATTTAAGATATTTTTTAATTCGAAGTGGTCGAAAAGTAAAAAGAAATAACACTTTTTTACGTATCTGCAAAAAGGCCCGGGCTCAATTTTTTGGTCCGGTCAAATTTTAAAAAAATTACACTTTTGAAATCTCAAATATATTTATTAAAAAACAACTTTTTTGTATAAACAAATAAAATTAAGTAACTTTGCAACACTTAAAGACAACATATTGTACAATTCCTGAAGTAATGAATGTATAACACTTTTGACAACATAAAACAACTACATTAATGAAGGTGTGAAGCCATTAGTCAAAACATAGAGCTGACAGAACCAAAACCAACTAAGCTGATCTTAAATCCTCAATTCTAATGCAAAATCAAAGCTTCCTTGAAAATTTTAGAAATTTTCAAAAATACAAATTATCACTTTCAAGACCCTACCAAAAAGTGATACCATGACAAGAAATTACCTTACAGCAATTCGACAATGACAAATACTCTTTAACAACATAAAAATATTTAAAAAATAGAAAACACTAAACCAAATCCACAGTAGTGTCATTGGCGGGTAATGAGCACTCATCCTTCAAATAAACGTACCCTCTGTACACAACTCTCAACAAATAGTACTCGATATAAGCAAACAATGCCAAGAACAAGCCCATGATGATGGCGATACCAAGTCTGAAGCCTTCATCCTCATTAAAAACGTCATTTTCACGCAAATTATCCGGCAATCCAACAATCGAAGCCGAAATTCCGAAGAAAAACAAAATGCCAGCCAATATTGTCGTCGCCGCTACCGCAATACAGTTGATGAATAGATGTGGGTAGTAGCACCATGCGATGCCGCATCTGTTGCCAATGAGCAGACACCACGGTGGAATTCCGGAGACGATTGCTATGAAGATTCCACTGAATTCGTTGATTGCAAAGGCAGCTGCGATCATTGGAAAGGCGGATAGACCCCATTGAATGCAACCGAGAAGAGCTATTAGGAACGTACCTTGCTGAAACAATATTTATATTAATATGCTGAAATGATGTTGAATCATGTAAAAGACATTGAGACCTTGATTGTTTCTAATTTTTATATCTGAACGTCCAAATTTTCATTAAAAAAGTCCACTTTTTCAATCAAAAATCGAAAACAAGGAAGGTGCTACGGTAAAATTACTGTAACTTCTAAAGCTTTCCCAATTTTAAAAATTTGTTTATTACAATAGTTGAGCAAAAGACTATTCTACATTCCCTTAAAGTTTCAACTTCCCAGCTAAATTTTTAACCAATTTACAACAAAAAGCACTCCTCCATCACACAATATTTTAGGTCTTTCACTCAAAAAATAACCCAAAAGCAAATAAAAAACTTAAATTTCAAAAAATACTAAACCAAAATATACTCTACATCAAAGCTAATACAATATTAAACTATAAAATCTAACTTACATGAACATGTGTGCCACACAAACAGTGATAGTAGCTGTCATACGTGTGCATCCCAACTGTAAAACATAAAGATTAGAACAAGATTTTCGTAAATTTAAATTTGAATCCGTTCAAAAATAACACAAATAAGATTCGCGCAGATTGACAGACATCAACATCGTATATTTTAACAATAACTCCTAATTTTCTCAAAACTTCCTCGTCAATAACATCAAGTTTTACCTTATCCATGCGGATTTTATAAAGTTATCAGCAAAAAACTTAAAATAAAATAAATGAACAGACTTTTGATAGTCTGAAACAACTTGTAAAGTAGTATTGAGCCAGTCTACAACAGAGGTTGGTCTAAAAACTGCGAATTTATTGGCCCGATCCAAAAGAGAGCAAGAAATCGACGCCCGATAGACTTTGTGGCATTTCATCCTGATTTCGTTGACGATATGCCACAAATAAGTACGCAATCAAGAGATTATAAAAGTGATACTATTATACGTAGCTACACGTAGTGATGCACTTATCTTGTAACAATCATAAAACAAAATTTTAAAAATTTTAAATTTTCAAAAAATAATCTTTGTTTAAAATGCAAAGACTGCCATTTTTAATAAAAACTAAATAATAGACATGTAAAAAAGCATGCCAAAAGTAAAATAAGTTTTTAAAGTTCAGTGAACCTTTCAAACTCAAAAACAAACCCATTAAAAGGTCGGAACTGAAAAAAACATCTACTGTTCCCAAGTGTAATATCCTTAATATCCTAGTTTTTGTTCCTTGTTCGTGGTACTAATATTTTAAAAGCTTTTATCGACTAACAATGTTAATTAGAGGTCAAAAATTATATCTTATTCTCAAAAAGGTTTTGAGCCTTAAAAAATTCAAAAAAATTTCAATTTTAATTTTTTTTTATTATATTTTGATAACCCATGCCTTTACCCCTCCCAAAAAACTCATATTTCTACCCCTCAAAACCACATAAAATTAATATCCTACTATAAATTATAACGTATGCACATGACTTGTCGACATATGATTGTTTCCCATAGACAATATATATTATCATTACAACTTGCACTTCTGGTTCATTAAAAATGTAATAAGATGTAGACTTGTTATTGCGACTTCTTTTGACTTAAAAAACAAATATTTTCCACGTCGTTTCCTGTTTTCGAATCTGTCATATGTTAAGTTAGGTATCGGTAATGTAATAGTCAAGTTCAATAGAGAAAATTATGTTGTTCGAAGAATTCTGTGCTCCCTCTCAAAGCAAATTTTTGGGGTCAGGGAGCGCAGAATTATTTGAAAAACCAAGGACTTTGCTAGGAGGAAGGAGAAAAGGAGATGGGAGAGGGAGTAAAGGGAGAGGGGTGAATTTAAATTCTTCACGAATTTTTTTCCGATCCGAAGCCCCAGCAATAGCCATAGTCTCAACCTTGGGGTTCGTCCTTGCTCTAGTACAAGTCTCAACCGCTAGTACTAGCCTCAATTCCTAGTGCTTGTCGCAAAATACATAAAATAGGTCCTCAAGTAGATAGTTAAAAAAATTTTTTTCGCATTTTTTCACCCCTATAAACATCCTTGATATTTAATTTTTTTGAGCAGAAAACAGCGTTTTTAACTGTCTTTTTCAAATATTCAAATAAACAATCAAAGAACTCAAAATTCAAAAAAATTTCTAAAATTCTTGTAGTCACAAGAAACTTCTTTAATTCTTAACTTTTTGACCTTAAAACGAAACAATGTCCAAATGGCCGAAATTTTACCCTGTCTCTCAAAAAAAGCCCCAAAGAATCGGAATTTCAAAAAGATAACGCGATGAGTAAGCGAAAAGTCCAATTGAACTTGAATGGACTTTTAAATTACTCGTCTTGCTCCAAGCCAATGTTTTCAAATTGAAAAAGCTTAAGCCCCAGTCTCAGTCCTAGCCCAGAGTCCTATCCAAACGCTCTGGCCCAGAGCCTTAGCCCAGAGCCCTAGTCCAGAGCCCTAGCCCAGAGTCCTAGCCCAGAGACCTAGCCCAGAGTCCTAGCCCAGAGCCCTAGCCCAGAGCCTTAGCCCAATGCTCTATCAAAGAGTCCTAGCCTCAATTCTAGTGCTAGCCTGAACTTTAGCACTATAATATATATTATACCTACCTAAAACATTACCTTATAGCGATGCTGCGAAATCTATGCAAATAAGAAATTAAAGTTCAGAAAAAATAAAAAAACGAATTTTAAGCCGAAAATCTGAAGCCATAAGTAATGTGCCGCTTATTTTGTTCCACTAGTTAAACAAATCTAGGAGAAAGGGCCGCTAGTCCGACGGACTTTTTCGGAATTTCTCAAGAGCTTAAAGCCGCAAAATGTCAGAAGACAAAATTTTGAAATTTTTTTAAAAAACTAGCACGAATATCAACGAACTTGTGAGGCTTATAAGGAAAGTACCCAACCTGCCCCACTCAGAACAATCCCAGAAATTTTATAAGTATTCTTTGTACCATCAATAGTACTTATAAAACATTTTATCCCGCGCTTTTGAATTTTAAAACTTTAAATATTTGAGCTTCCCGCCAATTTGGAAAATTTGGCATTGTTTTTCAAGCACTTTTTGACTTTTCAGACAAACTACGCTTACAAATTAAAAAATGTAAGTTCACTTAACGGTATTCTACTTGTATAACAAAGAAAATAATTAAAAGTCTAAAAATCACAAAGTTATAAGCTTGAAACACAATGCCAATTTGGCGAGAAATTCAAAACGTATTTTTTGATCTCGATTTTCTTAAGATTTCTGGAAAGCGCTAGTACTATGCTAAAGACCTCGTATTTACAAAAAGTTTAAACTAAATCAGAGCGGGGAAAAACCAGTCACTTACCTTGTAAGTCTCAAGATTCAGAAAAAAAAGTACTTAAATAATAAAATCAAACATATTTGTAAAATAAGCATCATGCTTTTGCTAGACCAGCAAAAAAAACTTCGAAGATGTAGCTCCTCTTCTTGGTAAGTAAAGCTACACATCAAAAGAACGCAATGTTAAAGTAAAGAAGGTTTATGGCAATGTTTGCCTAACGCACCCATCTATTGAAATGCTCTACTTTGGTTCGTTTTGTCTTCAAAGTGTTCGTATATTGAAACGAGTGGCAAAACCTACAGAAAAGACTAAAAAATTTATAAAATATAGCACTATTAAGAAGTTCAAATAATTCTGTGCCCTCTAGAATCTGTCATATCTTAACTTACAATTGTTAGGTACCGGTAATGTAATATTCAAGTTCATTAGATGGAATTATGACAATAGGTTGTTCAAATAATTCTGTGCCTGATTCACAAAGCAAATTTTTGAAGTTAGAGGGCTCAGTATTATTTGAACAACCTTATAATTATTTTTTGATAGTTTTAAAAATTTTAATATAGTTTCAAACTACACCTTGCCCTAGTCCTAACCCTAGCTCAAAATTTTAAAAATATTAAAATGTTCATGCCCTGTCCAGTTCTGCCCTGCCTTTTGAAAATAAACATACTTAAAATCGAATTTAAAAGCCCAAAAATCAAAGTTAATATAAACAATTTCACTCTTAACAAAACAAACTTTAACCATAGTCTCTTAACCCTTCCTTACTTCTTTTATCATCTCCAAGAGGTGGCATAAATAACGTCAGCCGTTAGCCATAAATCTGAAAGCTTAAACAAAACACATTTTTCACCTCAGGCTATTTCTAAGTGGTTGAACAAACTTTTCATTAAAAGTTTAAAATAGAGAATAAATATTTTAAAAATCGTTAAAATACCTTTTTAAATCCAAATTTTAAAGTTTATAAAAAATAGTTTACAAAACTGAGATAGTATCTAGCTAGAAAAAGTAATGACAAAAACACGAAACGGATAATTAGTGCTAAAATTGCCAGAAAAACAAAAACAAAAAAGACCAATAATCGTTTGTTGTACTACAATTATGCATACTTTATAAGCATATATTATCATACAACTACCCTACCCTACTTTTTTCTACTCTATTCTTACTTTTTTAAAATTCCCTGATTTACACTGCTCTATTCATTGATAGCACACACTACTTTTTCCTACATTACCCTTCTTTTTGCTAACCTGCCCTATTTTTTTCTACTCTATCTTACTTTTTTTACCTTACCCTACAATTTTTTTATCTTACCCTACTGTTTTTTACCATACCCTACATTTTTCTACCTTACCCTACTCTTTCCTGCTCTTCAATACTCTTATTTACCTTACTCTACTTTTTTTACTTTACCTTTTAATTTTCTATCCTGCCTTAATTTTTTTACCCTACACTACTTTTTTCTACCTTACTCTTTTTTTACCTTATCTTACTTCTTGATTTTTCCTACTCTACCTTTTTTTCTACCCTACCTTACTTTTTGCTGCCCTACCTTAATTTTTCTACCTTACCTTACTTTTTTCTACCTTGCTCTACGTTTTTCTGCCTAGCCCTGTTTTTTCTATCCTATCCTTTTTTTCTACCCGTTTTTTCTACCCTACCCTACTTTTTGCTACCCTACCTTACTTTTTTCTACTCTACCCTACCCTACTCTTTTCTACCCTACTCTACTTTCTCTTTTTTACTTCCTTTATCATACATTTTTTACCCTATCCTACCTTACTCTTTTTTATCCTATCCTATTCTGTCTACCCTACTATAAAAATAGTATATCCAGACGAAAACCGGCTGACAGATTGTCAAAACAAACTGTAGGTAAATTGCCCTTCCGCTTCGCATTTCCTTATCTTAATTAAAATGCAAAGCGTCTTGGCCGTTCTTTGTTTTCACGAGTGCCCAAAATAAGGCCAAACCCTAATTAAAATGTATATAAGAAATTGGAGGATTATGCAAATGGTAAGTGCACTCTTAACCAGGCGTATATTCACGTAAACATCTATTTTCGACTGTCGTATGATTGATATGACTATGACATGCAGTGGGAGGTAGGAGATACGTTTTGTTACAGTGTTTTTGGACCCTAATTAGTAATTTTATCTATTTTAAATGATGAATTGTTATCTAAAATTTAAAAAAAGAAAGGTATAGACACGTTGAAGCTTCTAAACTATAAATTATACCAAAGATCAGGACTTACTGCCATATATACACTCATTATCTTACTATGTACATAAGCCGAACAGCCAAATCCGCGCATTAATTTGGCCCAAAAAAGTGGCTTTTCACATTCTTTGGAGAGTGACAAATATGGATTTGCATTTTTTATTTGTTTTTCAAAAAATGACATACAAATCTGTTGTTTTCCACCGCTTTCAAGGACTTGTTCTTTTAGTTTGGTTAATAAAAATTGGATTTTGTGAACTGAAATGCACTTTCAAATCTTTAGGAAACCTTAAGGCTTTATTACAGTATTTTATAAAATTATTGTTGGTGGCTAGTGCGAAACAATGATTTTAGTCTAGGAGAGAGAATAATATAAAGGTTTTAGTCTAGGAGAAAAGACATTAAATTTTTGTCAACAAAATTCTAAAATTTTTCTTAACGAGAAGAGATGGCTCTTGTGTCCTATCTATAATACAGTGGTCTCTCTATATAGCAAACCATCTGTATAAGCAACTCTCCTTATAATAAACAAGACTTTGGCCCCGACATGTCAATTTGCATTAAAAGCCCCTCTGTAAAGACAACACCCCCTATAGTAAACACAAAATGTCGGTCCCTTCGGGTTGTTTATATAGAGAGTACTGTATTATAATTAGACCTGTAAAACAGCCGGATTAGATCCAATTTTTATGAATGAGAAACAGAACAGTCCTCCTTTTGAGGCCATATGTTTAAACCCGGCTTGTTTTCATTTTTTCGCTGGCCGGCTCGTTTGAAAAAATTTTAAAAATTTTAAAAATAAAAGAAAAGTTGGCATTACATTTATTTTTTGGGTCATTTATTGATTTTAAAAAATCAAAAAATATTAATAAAAATTAAAAATTTTTATAATTAAAAAAAATTTTTTTTAATTTTTATAATAAAATTTTTTTTGGTTTCAGCTTACTTTTCAAGCCTGGCCCGTTTTAACTTTTGCTTTGGCTCCATGTCGAGCCTGGAGAAGGCCGGGCCTTGTTGTGGTTTGAGTTGCGAATTTTTGCAAGTCAAATCTTTTGTTGGAGCTAACAGTTTGTAAGCAGGCTCTTGGAACCTTGTTTTGATTCTTGGCTGTTTGGCTTACATGTGTCTGCTTGCCCTGATCTTTTTAAAATTTACTTTGGCTCGGTCTCTTTCAAATTTGCTTCAGTGCGGCCCAGCCCAGCTAATATTGGGTCTGTTAGGCTCTTTTTCAATCTACCTAGCGTAAGTTTAAAAATTTGCGAAATTCAAATTAAAAATTTTCTAAACAAAAATTTAGCCATTTTACAGAAATATCAAGATTCATATTTTATTTTAAAAATTTTCATTACGTTAAAAAAATAAAAATTTATGCTAATATTATAATGAAAATTATAAAAAACTTTTGATCAAAGTTATTCGTTCATTCCGCTATCCGTACCATACGGAAGGAGGGCAGTAGTAAATAGCACATGGGTCATAACGGACTTCTCTATACTGACCATTGTTCTCGTAGCCACCTTGGTTGGGTTTGTTGACGCTTTGACCATTTGAAGCACCGTTGCTTTGGTTACTACTGTCTTGAGTATCATCAGTATTGCTTTGACTAGAGCCTTTATTATCAGAGTTTTCAGCCGCCTTCTGCTTTTTCATATTTTCAATTTCTTCTTTCCTGAACGCCGCGTCAGACATTTGACTAGACATCACCTCATAGTTGATCTGGCCAAAACCATCCATATTAAACCCATTTGTCTGGTTAGCCATGTCATCTACTGCTCCCAACGTGAAGAAGTGCTCTTCATCGTTCTTGCTAAACGACGGTGTTGCCAAGCTGGTGATACTCTTTGCCGGATCTTTGTTGACTTGAGTTGTCTTGACAAGTAAGTCTAGACCAACATTAACTGGTAGATTCTTGGTACGAAAGCCAACGCCAAACAATGATGAATTGTCAGGATGTAGTCGTAGTTTAGCCTCACAATCTACACCATAAATAGGCAGACTTACAGAAGCATCAAGCTCAACATTCTTTAATGCGTTACCTACAGCTTTAGCACCTTTCTTGACCTTGTCCCAAAGGAAACGGGATGTCGCTTTTGGGAGTTCGAGAGCTTTCTTCGACAGAGATGAGAAGATTTTGGGTGGAGTTGGGAACTGCCTTGGTGTACACAAGCCACAGCTTTTGGCGCACCACCCACTAATCATCGTAAACTCAGGATGATTGATGTTGCAGGCGCCTACTCTCACTATTGAGTCGCAACTGAAAAAAAATATTCAGGATGTAAAATCTTAGAGATCAGCAAGTATGAATAATCTTACAGATCATCAAGGATGTAAAAACTCAGAGATCATCAAGGCAAATCTTAACGTTAAGCTTTGAAAGTATGTTTGTATAAAAAAGATTGAGCTACGTCTCACAGCTCAAATATTATAAATTTTTAGAAATTAACAAAGAGTTATGTTTGTTTATAGGTGAAAAAATCCTCTTTACTTACGGTTGTGTATCTCTGCAATCATTATCACAATGTTGACACGTGTAGCGACAAGATTTTTTTGAGTCTTCAAAATTCTCTACCGTATTGCACGCACCAGCTATTGCCTTGCAATACTCGGTATCTTTGTCCACACAGTCTTGAGCTTTTACTTGAATCAATGCTAAGGACAGTAGCAGTAATAGGATCTTCATGATTAGCAAAGATGAGATAGCAAGGCTTGTCGCTGAAGCTAGTGAAGATGAAGCGACTAGTTAGTGAAGACTGCTGCTTCATAATAAAAAAGAAACAATCATAACTTCCTTTTATAGCACATTTTGTTACAACTGACATACAGTACATTGAAACTTGGCCAATAGCTGACAGATGAGTTAACAAACCTTGGCCAAAGATTTCTTGTATATTTAGCAATTGTATATACAGTTATTGTACATCAAACAATTGATATATTGTTGTATGTTCATCTGGAACCAGTTCAATCTAAACTTTTGTTTCGAACGATGCATATACTCATAGTTTATATGTTGCCTTATGTACATAGATGTTCGATACACTAGTCCTTGCCAAGAATTCAACTTGGTCCAATTTTGTAGTTTTACAGTTCGTTAAAAGGTAGCGAAGCTGTTCAAACATTGTCAACAAGATCGACTTTCCATGCGCTTTGGTCAAACATAAGCAGTGTTTCAAAAAGACATACGGTAGCGAACGATCTTTAAAGGCTTTTTGGATTTATACGGTAGTTTTTTTTGGTTTCAGCAGGCCCCTACCCTACCTACCTACCTATCCTATCCTATCCTATCCTATCCTACCCTACCCTACCCTACCCTACCCTACCCTACCCTACCCTACCCTACCCTACCCTACCCTACCCTACCCTACCCTACCCTACCCTACCCTACCCTACCCTACCCTACCCTACCCTACCCTACCCTACCCTACCCTACCCCTACCCTACCCTACCCTACCCCTACCCTACCCTACCCTACCCTACCCTATCCTACCCTACCCTACCCTACCCTACCCTACCCTACCCTACCCTACCCTACCCTACCCTACCCTACCCTACCCTACCCTACCCTACCCTACCCTACCCTGCCCTGCCCTGCCCTGCCCTACCCTACCCTACCCTACCCTACCCTACCCTACCCACCCTACCCTACCCTACCCTACCCTACCCTACCCTACTATACCCTACCCTACCCTACCCTACCCTACCCTATCCTACTCTGCCCTACCTCATTCTACTTAGCCTACCTTACTTTACTTTACTACTTCCTACTCTAATCTTACCTTAGTTCCGCTTTAGCTTCACCCTACCTCTATCCTACCTAGATATATTCTGCTTTTGCTATAGATAACTCTACTCTACCTAGCTATGCCCTAGCCTACTCTAGTGCTACTTTTACTCACATTGTCTTAACTTACTATTATATTACATTTTTTATAAAATAAATGTTTATTACATAACATAGTGTAGCTTAATAAAACAAAAGATCTAACAAAGTTTATTTGTATTAGTGATATTATCCTTTCCCCATACAAACGACTTTTCATAGACTTTCGGATTAACATAGCTGAGGACATCTGAATTACATTGCATTTTGTAGTTTGAATCATAAACATTGTATTTGGCAGATAAATCAAGTAGTATAAACAGAGATGTCAAGCCATCAGTTACTGTAGCTGGTGGGCATGTGGTTTGGTACTTATGACTAAAACGGTCATTTGTTAAGAATTTTTTAGCCAATTGCCTTACAAAGGAGTCGCGTTGAAAGCTTTACCCTAACTTGTACTCCCTTATTATACCTTAACTTATATTATAACCTATATATGCTCTACCTTAAAGTTTAAACATCTTGGCTTTTTGATGCCTTGCTCTACCCACCCTACCTTATTTTGCACGTCTCCAAGCTCTGCCGTATCTGTTGAGTATGACTACCCTTCGAATCATCTGCCAATAGGTAACTAACCAATGGTTTTGCCAAATTTCTAATCAAAATCAATTCCTTAGTAGCTGAACTACTCAAACATTCAAAAGCACTACTGTCTAATGCTTTCAACGTTCTTGCTGTTTCAAAATTACCATAAACTCGATAGTTTTGTAAAATACGAGTGTTTGTCGAATTGATGATACATTCCACTACACGATCGTAGTCTGACAGACGGGATGCGTGACTAAAATGAATTTATTAATAACATTTTTTTTAAAAGTTTTTCTACATTATAGTAGGCCTTCTTGTTATCTACAGTTTGCCATACTTGATATAGTCAACTCTACAAGTTCTTCTATAATAATGTCAACAATTAAACAGTGGTCATATCAGGTTGTTCACCTAATAATTTTTTTTAAAATGCTTTGAGAGGACAGAGAATAATATGAACAACCTAATATTAAAGATTTAATGTTCAAAGCTCACAACTTTTCGCTCATTTTGTTCATAATTTCTAATGGCCAACTGTAATCCGAGCCCTTGACAATATAATCAACACTTTCTTTTGTCAGAAGTTTGTAATCAGCGGCTTTTACTACACAAAATAATAATAAAAATAGATAGGTTTTGAGCATGTTTTAGTAGATTTTGTCAAAATTATATTATAGGATAAAGAAAATATAAAGTTAGAGCAATAAAGTATAATATCTCTAACATAAGGTCCGAGATTTAATATTTAGTTTATCAGTCCTTATCTGATTTTCATAGATGAAATTCTTTAGAAAATTCAAAAATATCTTACATTGTTTCAAAAGATTTAAAAAATCTTGTGTTTGCTAAAATTCAATATTAAAAAAAACTTCAAAACTTCAAATAACCATTTATTTATTGACCGAAACAACCATTAAAAGAACAAATTTCAACAATTACGTTTAGGAATAATTAAGCGACGGCAGGGATGTCATCGACAATTTTTTTTCACATCTCTCAACTTCAAAATGTACTTTATGTAGTGTTCGGTGATACGGCGATCGACCTTGGATTCGGCGACAACTATCATTTCGTTGTCCACGAAAAAGTCCAGATCCAGGATAGTATCGTCATCATCGTTGTCTTTCTGCTCGGCACGGTCTCTGGTGTCTTTGCCTAGTTCGTTTACGATCAGCTGTAATGAATATTGGTATTATTGTTGTAATATACGTATAGAAAACTTGACCTTTGATATTTTTTAAAAATTTTTTGAAATTTTTATCTCACAAAAAAAATTTATTTCAAAAATCCCCTCAAACGCTTTATTTTAACCTTCTATACTCCTCATACTCACCTTGAAAGTCAATAATTTCCCGACAAAAGTGTCCAACTCATTCTCTCCAATGTCCATGAATGAAGCCAATTTTGCGACCGGTAGAGAAGTGTAGAGCTTCAAGTAGCCTCTCAAGACCGGCAAACATACTTGGGATTCGATACCTTCCAGGAACACATTACATTGTCTGATCAATGGCTCCGAAGCGACGTTAGATCCGTCGTATACGGTGGTTGTGGGAGACAAGGTTTTTGGAGCTCCTTGCATAAAACACGTGCGGAATTCGTCGATTTCACTGAAATTTAAATATTTTTAAATAGGAAAATAAAACTTGAACACAAAAGCCCAAGTTTTACCTCTTCCAACACCTCCAAAACTAAAACAGTGTATTAACCCACCCATTAGACATTCTCAACACTCGTTCACCAAGACGATCCATCAATTGAGTTTGAATGGCTTCGTCGATACGTTGAGGTTGAAGACACAGGCAGATGGCCAACAAATAGTAAAGTTGTTCATGAGTCTTGGCAATCTGTAAAATATTACTTTAGTCATTTAGAAATGTAATATATTACCCGCCCGGAAAGTCCTCGCCTCAAAAATTCAGCCCTAAAAGTTCCTATCCCCACACCTACCACATCGTATTTAGTTGGCTTCTTAGCATTCTGTTGCTGGTTTTGTGGCTGCAAGTTTTGTGTACGTTGAATGTACAACAAGCAGTTGACAAAGATTTTGGTGGCTTCACCATAGTTCCTCATCATCATATGCGAGAAGCCGACAAAGTAATGAAGAGTCACGTAGCATGATGGAACCGCGTTGTACAGACCCTAAAATTATATTTTTTAAACAAAATTAACTTGTTTTATTAAAATAATAAGATTAAGCTAAAAAACATAATGTTATATGTACCTTTGGATCAAACTCCAAGTTCTCAACAGTCCTCAAAGCCTGATGATAATCACCCAAAAGAACGTGCATTCTCAACAGTCCAATCAAAGCAAAGTATCCGAGCTTGAAGTACAATGGAGAACGTCCGAATTCATCAGCAACGTCGTCGGGGTTACCTAAAATTATTTAAATTAACATTTTATTCAAAACACATTTCCATATAGAAAAAACCTAAGCTTTTTACTATATGAAGTTTATATCTATATACATCCAATAAACGTATTTTACCTTCAAAAAACAAAATGATTAACTCTCTGTCAACAAAAAACTTACGTCCTTCCCTAATAGCCTTCAGCTGCTCATTCACTTGAGACTTGTCTAACAACGAGTACAAGATGTTCAAGACCGGATAAATGTTCCACACATTCTCCAACTCCTCAAACTCAGACATCTCTTCATTGTCGTCAGCAGTCCTCTTTGTTGGGTTAGTACGATACAAGCAGAAAGCTTGAAATTGATAGACAAATTCATCAATAATATTCCACAACCAAACATTAGGTAAAATAATATCAGTTGGTTGATCTTTGCCGCACAATAGCTCAGAAAACAACTCTTGGTAGTTCAAATAGCTCTCATAACGATGTTGAAGAGATGGTCCGCGACGAGAACGTTGATACAAGTCACGGTAGTACAGTTCTTTGTACAGAACAATGAAGAGGTGATCTAAAACAACATAAGCTTAAAATTAATTAAAAAATACCAAAAACTACTAAATTTAATTTTGAATATTAAGAATAATGTCTTCTTCAACTGTAGAAATACTAACATCTACCCAAAGGTAAAAAAAAACCGATAGGACTCGACTTACCAAAGTTGTTCGTATCATCCAGCTTCTTAGCATCGGGCCAAGTACGTTCAGCAAAGAAACGGTCAGATTGATCACCAAAGAAGTGCTTGTACAACTCATAGACTTCGTCAACTTGCTTTTCTTGGATAATTCTATGCAAGTAGATCAAGAAATGCAAAACTTCCTCTTGAATATCTAAAACAACATCAGTTTGTCTGTATTTTTAAAACTTCAAAATTAACAAACAAATATTGTCAATATTATACTGCGTTTGTCTAAAATCAAAATAAACAAAGTAAATAAACGCTTACCATGAGGATTGCTCACTACAAGCTCGTCCGAAGAGTTGTCCGAGTCCATTCTTTACCTAAAACAAGGTGTTTATTAAATATTAATATGAAAAACTATAAAGAATCAAAATTATTATAAGAAATTATAAAAACTGGGTTATATAATCCATGAACAACGCAAAAACGTAAAATATATTGGCCACGGAATTAATTTTTTGCAATTTTACCCATCCTTGGCATTTCGTTTTGCGTTTCATCGTTTTCGCGTTGGGACCTATCCAGACCTCTAGCGTTTCACCGTAAACTACTACAAAAGTAATAAAAAGTTACAGCGAATAAAATAGAAGTTATAAAAAAGTGGATTGTACTTAATTATTTTTTAAATATGAAAACATTTTAAGTAATGCACTTTAAATTTTAGTGAAAAGAACAGTCACTTGACGACCGCTGGTCGACTTGGCAACAAAAGCTTGTTGCAGATGATATTTTACTTTCAAAAACAACTCGTGTGCTAAAAATAATAATGTTTTGCTGTCGGTAAGGTTTTTTTCAGTTTTTCTTTTTTGAAGTATTAAAAAAATAAAAATTATAATACTATATAGGTATACCTACAAATGTACTAGAGTATTTTAAACTTTCATAAAAGTAAAATCAAAAATTTTTTAAAAATTTTATTTTAGAAGGCATGACGCTCGTATGTCTAAATACAGATTACAGTACTTTGATGTACGAGGCTTGGGTGAGGGGATTCGAATGATTTTTCAGTACGAGGGGGTGGTATTCGAAGATTCTCGTGTAACAATGGATGAATGGACGGAAGTTAAAGAAAGTGAGTATATAAAAGAAGTTGTTAGATTATCCTTGTTGTATTACGATAGTAAAAAGATTACTAATAAACTTTTCTGTCTTCTTACAGCGGCAAGAACAGGCATGCTACCTCAATTAACATTAGATGATCGGTTTCAGCTCGCTCAAAGTTACGCTATTGGTCGATTTTTGGGCAAACAATTTGGTAATTTTAAAAGATGTATAGTGATTTATAAAATTTGATGTTTACTTTAGGTTTACATGGTAAAACAGAGTGGGAAGCAGCATTAATCGACCAATATTCAGGATTTTTGAAAGATTTTATGATCCAAGTTAATCCATACCTTTTCGTGCTCCTGGGACGGACTAAAGGTGATAAGGTAAGCAATATTTTAATCGTTTTTAAATTTTTTTAAAATTTATTGAATTTTTTGTTTAAAATCTCAAAATTTTACTTGATTTGCACGGTGCAATCGAAAAAAACTTTTAAAAAAAATTTACATAAAATAACAATTTTAATGCCATTTTAAAACAGACTGATTCAGAAAAAGATGCGGAAGACCATTTTTCAACCAGCAATGGCCACATTTTGTCCTCAAATCGTGACAATCCTAAACAACGCCAAGAGTGGGTACCTGTTACCTTCAGGCATTACTTGGGTCGACTTTTTCTACGTCGAATACTTTACATCGTTGAGGAATTTGGAAGGGAATTCTTTTAAGAAATACAGAGAAATAGTTTTATATCAAGAAAAAGTGCATGGACTGCCTACTGTCGCCGACTATGTGAAGATACGACCTAAAAGTCAAGTTTAAGCTAACTATGTGAAGATACGACATCAGAGCCAAGTTTAATGTAAAATACGGTATTGAAAGCAACTGTACATTAATAAAATATTGGATTTGTTGTTTTAAAGTATGTTATGACGTGACACAGACTCCTGTATACCAAATTGCTTGAAACTTTTGAAAGAGTTCTTTATGAAGGATGTGGCATAGAGTAGTTCATTATAAAGTAGTTACACTGTATTTTCGTTACAAAGCTAAAAAAATTAAATTTTGAAAAAATTAAGCTTTTATTGAAAGTTGTTTTAAATTTTAAAACAAATTTTTAAACTTGGCCAAGATTTTTTATAGTTTTGCAAGCAAGATATGGTTCGTTAAACTTAACTCAACAATGTAACTTACTATCCTATGACTCATATATCGATCCCTCAAAGCTACAGTCCATCAAGTCAAATCGCCTCCTAGTCCAATATAAGTGAGAGCTATATGTGTACATACATATTTATATTGTATTACGTCACTGTGTCCATCAACCCATCCATATCGTAAATGTGTCCTATCGATATAAACTTTCTCTTCACTTACTATAGATAAACTTGAGCGTCGCCAAAGTTATTAATAAAGGTAGACAAATCCTAGAATAAGCTTTAAAAATTAGTGCGAATTTAATATTAAAGCCTAAAATTTAAATATTGTCCTTGATTTTGCATTACTTTAAGTAATTAGTCTTTATTTCTACTGGTTGAGAGGATAGGTCTATAAAAGACGGTTGATTTGACTTGTACTTCATCAGATTGACAAGTGTGGTCAAGGATAGCTTGTGAGTTTGTTTTCTTCAGTTTTTAAGGTAGGTTTAAAGTTGAACAGTGAATTTTAGGCTTAGAACTTGATCTATATAGTTTTTGAAAGAAAACTACCATGGTACTCCTATATAACAAACTCCTATGTGTATAAACCTTACACATAACAATTACCTTTTCCTATAAGCTTTATATGTAAATTATTATACCATTTTCAGACAACTCAAAATCAATAATGGTATTCAACTGCTCGGTAGAGATCACCCAACTCGACCCCTGGCAATTGGCCCAAATCTACCCACCTCCAACCACCACCTTGGCCCCAATCCCTCGGTACATTACCGAGTTGGAGAACTTGTTCGATATGAATACGATTATATATTGTACCGTTATTCTGGTACTCTTTATTATGGTGCTGCTGATGTGCTGCATCCCATGTTGCTTCAAGAAAAGAGAGACCGTAGTGAGCAGGAAGAGCTCTGTTAAGGAAGTGAGTTTAACTTTAGATCTTGATAAGTTGAAGCTTGAATGCTTTCTTTAAAATTTAAAATAATTAGAGTTTTCAAATAATTCTGTGCCCATTTCAAAACAAATTTTGGATTTTAAAGGCGCCGAAGTATTTGAACAACCTAATAGATAGTTAACTCAAACTAACATCATAAAATAATATAGTTGAACCAAAAAATACCATAGTTAAAGCAAACGATAACCAATAACTTATGAAAAACTATATAAAAATAGAGTTTATGTTCATACACATAAAGTAGAACGTATTAAATTATTAATCTTTCAGTTCTTCCTAACATCGACCGAGGTTGACCCAGAAGAAAGCTTGTATGGAAGCTTGCCGTCGACAAGGCCAACCTACATCAGAAACAGGCCATTGGATGCTAGCATTATTGTTTAATAGTTGTCATATATAACATAATGTTCCAAATTTCATTGAGTTGTACAGCTTTATAGCTTTAATAAACTTTGTTAATAATATTCTCATAGTTTCACTTGATTAAAAATAAAATTTAAATACAAACCATTAAAGATCAAATACAAATTTAAAAAAAATATTAAAAATTAGCATAGAAAACTTAAAAAAGTAGCATATTTTCATACTGTTCAATCCAAAAAAGCGGATAAACCAAAAAAAAGTGAAGCTTTGCCAATTTCCAATACAAAAGTAACGAAGTGCCACGAAAATTCTATAAATATTTTTTTGATTTTCCCTTTTATTCGGAACTAATTTGTCCCTTTATTCATGAAAAGAGCTTCAATACTTTCCAAGAACATAACATTGTCGTATCTTTTGGATTTAATTTTTTTAATGTTAACATAGAAATGGGATATCACGCTGTCGTATTTTATCTTGAACTCGATAATTTGTCAATAGACTTTGTTTTTGTTGAATACTTTAACATCTGCAGATGCCTCGGTGTTCTCGCGACGTATTTTACTCAAAAATAAGCTTGTAAATATTACTTTTTTTAATTTAGATAAACAATAACATGAAATGGTTGACAAGGCGATAAACTCGGTCAAGAAATCGCTACTGGCTCAACAGAATTCGATTGGAACGGGCTCGGATTCGGCTAAAACTAATGATTCACTGACTGTTTCTACTCGTACTAAAGTTGAACCGTAAGTTTTATATGTTTTTATACGGATTTTTGGCTTTTAGGCATAGAAAACGACTAAAAAAATGGATAAGATCTCGTGTTGGAAGGGCTTTATCGAAAAACTTTAAAACTTGGAATTTCAATACTTAATACAATATAAAGTTATGTATAAAATAAGGGTAAAAAGGTATTTTTGATGCTTAATTAGAATGTTAGTATTTTATTGAATGTTCACAGTCGTATTTTGAAAAATTGCTTGAGTATACCTACAATAATATAAGAGATCAGTTCTTGTTTAAATTGCTATGTTTCGGGCCTGTCTTTGAAGTAAGTTAGTGTAAAAAAGATTGAGTCTGGTTATTGAACTAGGTTTTTGCATTTTATTAGAGGGTTTACACAAAAACAACAATTTATATTATTCATGATATAAAAATTTTAATGTCATTTTTTGGTGGTATATGTTAATTTAGCTTTATTTTTGCATTGTTTAGTTAAATATAGATCAATTGTGGTTTTCAGAATCTTAAGTAACTTTTTTATTTTAGAGTTTATGTATACGACCTGCCATGGGCTCCACTTCGAGTTCTACCCAACCCGACCTTGGATTTCAATGTTCTGCCAGCCAAGTACTCAGCTCAAAGTCTTTTGGTCGAATTATTCAACATATTTGAAAAGAAGCTGATTATAGCATGTAACGACAATGATAACCTGATAAACAAGACTCTTCGTCGTGTTGACGACCCATACTTGGACAATCTTTTGAGGACATTGGGAAGTGTTTGTGAAGTTTGTCTACTGCCAGTGTTGAGTGCGTTGATTCGGTGGCATGAAGCTCAACAAAAAGTGCCAATAAATGAGAATGGCGAGGCTCAGGAGAAGGCGATGAAGCGAACGTTGGGAGCCAGCTATTTGTATTGTATCGCTCTTATTGAGATTTTGCCTCAGCTGATCTTTTACAAGCCTGAGGAATGTGATCAACTGGTTAATCATATATTAAACACGGCTTTCAAACAGGCTTCTTACAGAGATCCGTATGTTTTATTTTTGTTTTTGGTTTTTAGGTAACACATGGACAAGAACTACCGGTTTTATTAAACGTTAGGCGGAGCATGAGCTATATCGATGTAAAAGTAGATTATCTTGTTAATTTTGGGATAGGAATTGTATTAATGAGGTTTAAAATTATTTTTTCAATCTAAAATAATTTAAAAACTTTGTTGTAGAGACAAATTTGGAGCGAATATCAAGAATTCCCTGGTCGTGGCCGAGATTTTTGGTGAAGTTATTGGTGTGTTCTCTCAAACTCACTTCACATTGGTTCACAAACTCTTCAGTCAGAACCTAGAAGCATTGAGGAAAGAAACTCCGTTCACGAATTTGACAGTTCAAAAAATAATTGCACTTTTAATGGCAATGAAGTTCTTCCGGATCAAAACGAATCAAATCGAGGAATTCGAACTTGGAGTCAAGTTTTTGAATGAAATCGGATCGTATTACTTGGAAGTGGATGCTAAACAAAAGGAATTGAAACATTCATTGGCTGGCTTGTTGGTGGAGATACTTTTGCCGGTTGCTGGGGTAGGTTTTTGTGGGTTTAGGGAATGGGGATGGAGAAAAGTTGTGGTTCAATGGATTAGATAGCTAAGTTTTGATGTTTTATTGACTTTTCTGTCATTTTTTAAAATAACAACTAAAAAACATAAAAAGTTGTAAATGAAAGCTAAAGAAAAGTATTGAAATTACAAAGATCAATTTGAACTGTAACCATCTAAACTTTTCACCACAAAAACCACGTCTTTTTCTTTTCCAGGACATCAAAACAGAAGCCAATGTGCCATCTTTAATCGCATTCGTCGACAAAATGTACGGACCAACAATGGAGCTGATTAATAAGAAACAACACAGAATGACAGCCTATCCATTACTAACCTGTTTACTATGTATTAGTCAAAACAAGTTCTTCTTGAGCAATTGGGTACACTTTCTCACACCAACATTGGGCAATTTGAAGAACAAGGACCCGAAGACGGCTAGGGTGGCGTTGGAGAGTTTGTATCGGCTTTTATGGTAAGTTAGGAGGACAGTGTTATAGAAAGCTTCAAAAAAATTGAAAACAGTTGATTAATAACTAAAAATGAAAACTTTAGGGTGTACTCAATCAGAATCAACTGTGAAGGCAATTCAGCAACGAGAAGTCGACTGGAATCAGTATGCTTTTCACTGTTTCCGAAAGGCAGCCGAAATGTCATACCAAGAGAGTCTCCAGTCATTATTTTTGTAAAAATTATTCACTTCATCGCTTATCAAAAGCTGGACTTTGCTTTTAAGGTAAGTTGAAGAGGAGGGTTATGTTTTGACATATTTTTGCACAATTTGTATTTTTTACAGGTTTTCGTGGTGGGACCTCAAAAACTGAAATGTTACCTAAAAATGGATTTTTTTGAAATTTAGATGGATTTTATTATAGAAAAATGTGAAATTACGGATTTAAAATTAATTTACAGGTTTTCGTGGTAGAACCTTCAAAGTCAAGTATTACCTAAAATACATTTTTTTTTGAAATTTTAAGGGGGTTTTAATATGAAACAATGTAAAATTAAGGATTCAAGAATTAAAAGGTTTAAAAATTCTAATTTTTTAGGAAATCATTTTCGATCTACTTGGAGTAAACCGCCTATCATCAAGGTCAATATCAATATACCCAGAAAGAATGAATATAGGCTTGCGAGCTTTAATGGTAATCACAGACGGTTTACAACAAAAAGATGGACCTCCAGGAATGCCAAGAGCCACAGGACCAGTACCAGCATCAGGCACGATCCAACGAATCAAGAAAACTTACATCACCAGACCTCTAACTCCAGATATCGCTCGTTCAATAGGTCTAGATCAATATTATTATCCATGCCGAAAGGCTTTTGATGTCATTTTAAAAACGTTGGACTTACAAATTGGGCGACCGTTTTTGCTAACATCGACCAGGGGCAAAGATACGGTCGATTTTCAGACCGGCGAGATGAAACCGAAAATGGACTTGTTCAGAACATGCATCGCGGCCATACCTCGACTACTACCAGACCCAATGACACCACAAGAACTCATCGAGCTACTAACCAGAATCAGTATTCACATTGACGATGATCTACGCACCACAGCCTTCCAAACCCTACAACATTTAGTAGCAGAGTCTCCAGATTGGCGTGAAGATATCATCAATGCTCAGTTAAAGTTTATCACTACGGATATACAAGACACTTTTCCTACTTTAATCGAAACGACAGTACGGTACCTTCTACAGCTGTTATGTACGTGGAAATCGGCTGTTCTGGTTGAGAAAAAGAATCAGGATTCTACGCAGAAAACGGCCGAACCAACGGTTTCTCCGTTCACTAATAGAGGCAATGTCAAGAGACAACCTACTTCTTCACAAACCACCGTGACTTCCTCGTCGATTGCTGATTCTACTCATTCTCCGGATGAACAGCAGGTAGGGTTTTAATCGATTTTTAAAAGGCGTTTTACACTGTCATTTTTAATTGGAAGTCATGATTTCTCATATTGTTTTAGAAGAATTAAATTGACTGCACGGTGCAAAAAAAATTTTTAATTTTGATTTTTTTTGTCATTACAGGGAGCCCCATCAACCGTAAGCAACTGCTCAGACCTTGGCAGCCCTTACAATCGAATCCACGCCCTAAATCACTCATTAGTCGTGGCCAACCCAACAGCCACAGCCATTCACAATGTAGAAGGATTCGCTTTAGTACTACTATGTCAACTCAGAACTCAATCAAAGAAAATGGCAATCCAACTACTGAAAGAGTGCCGACATCTACTTCAAATTGTAAATCTTGAAGTTCACGACAATCCCATGATCAATGTACTGGATGACAGCACATCATACGTACTGAACAAGTACTTTGATTACGTACCATTGAATGAACGACAATCCTGGGGCACGGACTTTATATCAGCATGTGACAGGCTATCAACGTTGGAAACGGACACGTATTTGGTCAATTCGGATAAAGGAAACGAGTATTTCAAATGGGATGCGTGGGCTTCGGCTTTGAGTGGATATTGTGAATATCATCTGATACCTAGCAAGTGTCCAACGGCTGTAAGTTGTTGAAAATGCTTACTTTAGGACTTAGTTTTGGTTAGTAAAAGATATTGGTTTACATTATCAGCCAAAATTAACGTATTTTTGAAAAACCAAGTTTTCGTGGCGGGACCCAAAACATACAAATTTGCTTTTGAACGTTAAAAAACGTTTAAAACTGAAACTTTTATCATCTTTAAGGATATACTTTGTTACCTGTAGTCATATTTGGGATGTTTTTGGAATTTAATGTTTTTCGTGGTGGGACCAAAAATTGCAATTTTTTAAATATGAATTTTGCCTTGGAAAAATTTTAAACACAAATTGAAAGTACTAATAAAAATTAAAATAAACATTATTTTAGGTAGCATTTGCCTGGCCAGCCTTATTCGGCCGTTTCAATCATTGTTCTCAATTCGTTGATCCGTCAAATTACGAAACCAGAGCCTCCTTATTAAGGTCATCTAAATCCAAAGCTACAGCCGCTTCAATGTGTGGAGAAACGATTGGACAGGAAAGCTATCTAAATTTGTGGCAAAAGTACTTGGTTTTATGTTGTGCACTATGCCCTCCGGCGCATTCGGCTTCGAACCCGAGAAGCTTCTCACCGAGTGTCACCTTGGATCAGGAAATGGTAAGGAGGGGTACTTTGGAGCTTTTTTGGAGGGTTTTTGTTTTGAATTTGTTCAAATAATTCTGAACCTCATAACACTGAAAATTTGCTTTGAGAGGGGCACTGAATTATTTGAACAATCTTATTTTTTTGGTTTTAATTTTTTTTTAATTAAAATTTCAAGCTTCAATTAGCTTACTATACAATAAAATTTTAGGTCCGATCAATGTCATCCTCAACAAGAATAATCCGCCCATCCTCAACGAATTCGGCGCCTTTGTTCACAAAAATTTGCTCAATGTTAAGATGGGAGATGAGTGATATGATGGACTTTGTCGTCCTAGGAGTCGGGTCTTTAAATCCGATTTGCTTTGAATATCTACTAGATGAAATGAACAACAGAGCCATCCTAAGAGAAGCTCAAGAGAAGAAAGTCAGGTCAAGAAACAAGAGAAGAGAGCTACTGAGGCTACAGCTGCTTCGTATTCTGGAAGTGGCCGTATTCCGAGGACTTTTGGTCTATGGAACGGTGGTGGATGCACAGTCAGGTCAATTGTCAAGTGTTTTGATAAAGCTGATTGAGAGTTTGAGGGAGAATGTGGTTTCGGAGGTGGTAAGTCATGTTTCTGGTGATTTTGGTAGTGTAAGGTAATAAACATCGTGTTTTTGATAGTAAAATGGTCTTGATTAAAAAAAATTTCAGGAACGTGATATAACAGTCCTAACCTCTCTACGCCTTCATTTTGCCAAAACCCTAACACTAATAGTCAACACTCTACCCATCGACAGAAGAAAGAATTTATTACCAGATGATTTGAAGCGAGAACTAGTCCAGACCATGTTCAGATGGTGTGGAAGGACGATAACGACCAGTGAAAAGACAATCGTCGAAAAAGAAGTTGGTACATTTGTGGAACAACAATCAGTTAGTGCTTTGTGTGCACTACTGTGCTGTGGACCGATTCTGAACGAAAAGAATGATGAAGAGTATTCGTTTAGGTAGGAAATTATAACAGAAATGAAGTTTTGTTGAAACTTTTGGTTTTTTCTCTACTCAACGTCTTATAACTAAACCCTATCGTACATTACTTTCTTTTATCTTGTTTTACCATACTCTTATATTCTACAACTACGCTTTTCTATATTATTCTATTTTAGCTTACTTTTCCTGTCTTACTCATAACTAACTTATTCAATTTTACACTTCAGTCATCTCTATCTTACTCTACTTTATTTTACTTGACCCTGCCCTACTAATCACTACCTTATTCTACGTTACCTTATCCTAGTCATCATTACCTTACTCTATCTTACTTTGTCTCACCCTCGCGACCTTATTGTATTTTATCCCTTCGCAGATACTCTTATATTATTCTACTTTATCGAACTTACTCGTCGTTATCTTACTATACCTTACCCTACTCTACCCATCACTATCTTACTCCTCTTCTTTTACTCTACCTTACATTGTTCTCATCACCACTACCTTATTCTATTAGCAAAATTTCGATTGGGTCGGGCCTGAAAAATGGGCTCGGCTCGGCCACCCATCACAACTTTTTTCTACTGTGCCCCACAATATTTTATCCTATGCTAAATCACTCTGCCTTGTCCTAATTTACTATGGATTTTTTTTATTTTAGAATGCTAGACGCCTTGCTGATCTCTTCAAATCAGACTGTATGCAACCTGTTTGATGACACATTAGCGACGATCTTGCATCTGAACGACCAGTCGAACAATCTTTTTGAATGGGCGGTGAACATGTGTTACAGTAAGAACAGTACAACGGCTTCAAAAGCTTTCAAGGCATTGATCCTACTGTTTTCAAGAAGGTGAGTTTGATTTTGTTATCTCAAATTTTATTTTTTTGGAAAGAATGTTCTTGTCATTTTTTGTTTTGGAAAAAAGTTCTTGTTATTTTATGTTTTGTAAAGAAAATTCTTGCCGTTTTATGCTTTGTAAAGAAAGTTATTGCTTTTTTTACTTAAAACATTTGGTCATGTAAAATTTTAATTTTCAGAGAATTTGCCTGCGACTTTGTCACTCTCTTTGTTCTGTGCCAAGTCTATGCTCTGGATTCAGATGCTTCGGTACAAACTTCTGCCATCTTACTTTTACAAATTCTACGTCGACAAGGCCTAGACTACGCTTTCGCTACAGAACAAAACGAAAGTCTTTTGAATGACAGTGGGAACCCAATCACAATGGGAGCATCGGCCAAGTTCTTGGCCGGAATCGATGACAAAACCCCAAACCCAGATGACATTTTCCCAATCAACTATGCCACAATCCTACAGCAACTCTCCGAGAAGTACCCCAAAGTCACCATGTCAATATTCTCGGAGATCTGCAGTAGATTAGAGAATGCCAAAAGTAATCGACAAGCTGCCATGTTAAGCATTCTACTACATTGGGTATCGAACATTGAATTGGTTGACCCGTACTGTGATTTCCATGAAGTAGATGAAGGTGAAGAAGTAGAGAAGGAAAGAGGAACTGGTTGGGGATCTGCCGAAGCAACACAACTGCTACTGAACAATCTCGTCTATATCACGGTAAAACACAGCTCAGAACATAGTGGAGAGATCGCAGCTTTATGGAAATGTATCGCTGTTTCGTACGAAGCTAACCTTGGAATTATATTACACTTCTTGTTTGTCATGGTATCCTTGGCTCCAGACTTCTTCATTCCTGTAGCCAAGAGGATTGCAGAACATTTACTGAATGCTACTGGAAACAGAGTGGTGACTTTGTTGATTGATCAACTGAACAATGGGGGAGATACCTTCAAAATGCATCTGGTCAGAAGCGAAATCCCACCTTATTTTAGGTAATATTTTTTTCTTTTTACTAGCTTGTTCGAATAATTCTGTGCTTCCTCTTAAAGCAAAAGATAAGATATAAAAAAAATTTTTCTAGATGGAACAGCCCAACCACGGATGAAGACGAAAAAATTCGCGACCGTGACGACGAAAAAGAAGGCACAGAAGACACAGTGAAGCAGGTCGAAGTGACCGATACCATAATATCAAAAGAACCCCAATTCAACGAAGAATCATTCGAAAAAGAAGAACCTCAAAACACATCAATACCTTTTTCAATGGACGACAAGAAAAACCATGTAAAACAACTGCCAATGCCAGCATACGGTGGGCATTACTCCAGTTTGGCCGCCTTTCTACCACCAACCACACAACCAATCAGCTACTTTTCGAAATCGAATTTGGCACTAATATTACTGAGTGAATTGATTGGATCAGATTTCGAAAAAGCTGTAAATTGGTTCGAGTACACGCCGATGTTGCTGAACATTGCCGTTACCTCGCTGGATTCGCTGAGATCATTGGTTTGTCGCCATTCTAGATTTGCAATTCTGAGGCTTTGTTTGATGAATATGAAGCCGTCGGTCAATACCTGGCAGGTGGCCAGCCTTTTGTTGAGTAATCAGGTATAAAAGGTTTTGAAATATTGTTTTAGATACTTCTTTATAATATTGGCTTAGATTTTTGAATTACTTTCAATAAAAATTGAAAATTCTTTTAGATAGCAGCACGACAAAACGATCTCTTCGACGGCTTCACGAAACCATTTATCGACGGAAAAACAGCTTTAAGTTCGACCGCAGAGACTGTCGAGCCGTTTTCAGAACAAAAACAAGACGATTACAAGCGACAGCTCTTTTTGGACAATGCGTTATTCTCATCTTCTACTGAACTACTATTGGCTTTGTCATCTTGTCTTACTGATAAGTAGGTTTGCTTACTATTAGGTTGTTCAAGTAATTATGTGCCTATTCTATGAAGAAATTTGAACAACCTCTAACTAATAGGGCGTTTAAATCGTTTTGAAATTTCAGAATGGACCGCCCCCTCTGGGCATACGAAGAAATCAGCACCAGGAACTGGCACATTGATTCCGCAGATCAACTCGGTTGCTTCTGCCGCCATCTAGCCGAATATTTCATAGAATCCATCCCCAAAATCGCCTACGAATGGACCTCAATCTCACTGAAAGTCGCTCTAACAACAACAAATCGCCACGTCGCAGGTCGATGCTTCCAAATTGCCGGTGCTCTCTGCCAATCTTTAGCACCATTCCTATCCCAAATCCTGTCCAGGTTGGCAGAATTGGTGGGCGAAAGCTCAGAAGACGCACAATCATATCTCACACACATGCTGCTGTGTCTACATTCAAGTATTCCTAGCATAATACAAAAGAGCTCGAATCCAACGGTTATGGATGTGGAGTTGAAGGCATTGTCACCAATACCATCAACTCATAACAGATCGGTTTCTCACACACCAGGATTGTTGCAGAGGCCACAGACGGCTGGGGTAAGGGGATATTGATATGGGCTATGTTTGATTATGTAAAAGTGTAAAAGTTTTGTTTTAGATAGCATAAAACATCATATTTTTGATAATATAAGGGTACTTAAAGGTCATTTTGTCGTGTTTTGAGAGTATATAACACTGTATAACACTATATAACACATGAAAAGACGATTATTTACATAAAACATAATATTTGAACCTGATAAAATAAGAAACAAACTATTTGTTTTAGGTATAAACCACTAATTTTTCAAATTTCAGTCCCCAGACAAGCGCCCTCTAAGCCCAAACCAATCTCCAGTGCAACATCCCAACCTCCAGAACACCAAGAAGGATACAAGACACTCTTTACTAATCGAAAACGATGCCATAATCGACCCACTTCCAACTATAACAAGATGCAAATCCGCCCAAATGCTAGCCTCCACCTCAGGCGGCCTAAAAGACGAAGCAATCCAAGCTCTAACCCAAATTGTCAGCATCAGCGTCTGCATGCTGGAATCACAAATTGATAACGAATACTTACTAGCATTGCACCTGCTTAAACGTATCTTCGAATGTACTCAAAGCAACGCCAAAGAAGTTATTGATCACTTTGAGAGCACGGTGAAGCAACTGAACTGGAAAGACTTTAATGGTGTCGTTTCGTTATCAACCAAAGCCATAATGCATCCATTAGGCTATGAAGATAGTATCTACATACTGACAAAGTCTATGGATTACCTAGAACATACGGTGATCGGAGGAAAACAGCTCTTACCATTAATTGTGGTCAGTAGCTTACCGTATTGTTTACTACACTTTGATTCGACGACGGAGACGAGTGTGTTGCTGTGTAGAGAGATTGCGGCCTACAGTCAAAAGACGATACCGAAGGATGAAGAAGAAGGCAGTGAAGTTGAACATTCGCTTCAAAATTTGATTACTGTAAGTTAAAGGGATAAACTGGCTCTTAAATAGGATATTGTAGTAGGCAAAGCCTTGGAAAGATTTTTTTTGGAAAATAAACTTGAAATGGATATTATAGTAGATTAAACAATGAAAAATATTTTTTGGACAAAAAATTTATATTATAGTAGGCTAAATTACGAAAAAAAGCTTTTTCTATGCAAGATAACATTAAAAAGTGAATATGAATAAGAAAACATATTATCATCCATCCTTTTCAGATGCTAAACCAATACTGTGAAGGCACGTTTGCCCGCGATCGCCTTCAGTGGGCCAAGTGTGTCATCAACTACACGATCGAAGGCTTCAAACCCGACCTGTCACAACTCATTGTATACCTTACTGAATGCCTGGACAAGTGTCAAGTGGCTCTACACTTCTACCTCCTCAACCTGATCCATCTAATCATTACTCATGGCGATTGGACCAACGTATCACCCCTGCCACTAAACGCACATGTCATTCGAGTTGTGACAAAACATTTACAGACAGTAAATTGGCGAGAGGCAGGAAGAGTAATCAAAGCCATACTAGACCAATGGAACCGAATCAGTGTGAACAGTATCAACGAGATGGAAGTGAACACGGATCAAAGAAAGCCCGACTTTGATATCTACATCGACCGACCAGTACCCAACGAACCATCAATCGTATCACCACAAAGCCCAAGGAAACTAGCACCACAACCATCGACCGGCAATGCCGACAGCCTCAAACGACAACAGAATTCAACTCAAACCAAAGTCAGAGAACGACTGATAAGCTTAATGACGGCCTCCGGTCTTCCAGTTGGTCTACCAAGATCATCAAGTGTAATATTCTCCCAATCCTCGAGTGATATTCATCATGACGACAATCCAAGACCCTCAAACATGCCAACAAGGGCTTCGAACTCACAATATTCATCTTCTGAGCTGATCTCTCATCCGGACGAATTGGAAGCGATGTCAGGTTCAAGTATGGCCAATGCTGGAAATGAGAGCATTACCACCGACTCGTTCCCCAGAGTCTTCAAGGAGTTTGACTTTTTGGAGGTAAGGAAGGGTATTTGGAGACGAAATTGTTGTCGAGGAGGTTTTTGTAGATGTTGAAGGATAAAACAATGTTGATTTATTACCTAAAGTCAAAGAAAATATAGAAAAAAAACATACCTTTTGATATTATCCATGATAGAATCTTCCACTTTTATACCAAAAACAACCAAATTTCAGGCCGAACACGACACGATCTCCGAATCCAACGACAGTTGCTTCAACTACCTCTCCACGATGCGGCCCCAACACCGAATGCAAGGCCATGTGGAGCCTGAAGAAGCGGAAAACGAGGCCGATAACGACGAAGATTACCTGAACCCGAACGACGATGAAGAATATGAAGAAGACGATGAGCTGGAAATGTCCGGAAGTGGAATATCCTCGAATATCACTGTCAGCTCGCGAGGCAACATTGTCCGACAGTTTGGGCCGAAAGGAAGAAGGAGAATTCAACGGAATGCGGCCGCGCAACGGTTGACACGACCGTTGAGTGGAGGTAAGAGAATATAAACAGCGATATTGAGGATGGAAGTGTTATCATTGAAAAAGAAGTTTAAAGTAGAAAAATAACATAACAGACTAAAAAATATTATCAAAATTCATAAAATTAGAAGTTTTTTGGCTAAAATTGTCAAAAAAGACGTTATGCCAAGGATTCAAATGCTTGAAAGTTTTCGTGGTGGGATTTAAATTGAAGATTTTTTTTGATATTTTGATGCAATATGCTAATTTATAACCTCTTTGTGCTTTATCTTTGTAAAATTGTAAGGTTTTTGTTTGTTTAATGTTTTCGTGGTGGGACCTAAAACTTACCTTCGTGAATTTGAAAATTTGATAATACAACGACTTTTAGTTGTTTCTTATGACTAAAACCAATCATTTTGTTTATTTTAACATACTTCCAGCATCCGATTCCAACGACGTATCATCAGACCGAACTCCAGTCCAATCCGTCAAACACAGCGACGCTTCCATATCCTCATCAGATTCCAGTGACGATGAACTCGAAGACGACGACGAATTCCCTACAGAAACAAACCCAACCTTCTCATACTACAGCTCAACTCACGAACCCACAACTTCAATCGCATCAGCAAGACAAATGTCTTATCAAAGTCCAATCGAAACGAATTCAACTACGTCGTTCCAAATCGCTGATGACACTACAGCAATGATGGAAACGGCTTCATCAGTTCATTGTAGATCAGAATATTCGTCAAGTCAACAGGTCTCGGATACGATCATGAGTAGGCAATGTAAATTCTACTTGGAGTGCAATCATCATATCAGTGGATTGGTAAGGGTGTCTTTATAAAACGCTATTTTTTGAAAATGGGTTTTATTTTGAAAAATTTGGTACATATGTCTTGAAGGGGACAGAATGTTGTATATACTCATAGAGTGCCATTTTGGTGTATTGATTGGTAACAGAAAAAAGTTTAATTGAAACTGGCAAAAACACTGAAAAAGGCCTTTTTCGGTCAAAAATTGAGATTTTTAGGCTTTCGTAGCGTGTAAAAATTTTTGTAACCGTACTACTTTGACAAAACTGAAGTAACAGACTCATAATGTTATTTTCTTTTTGAATATATTAACTTAACTTTTGTAAATTTACTAAAAACTTTCTTTCAGAACGAAAAACAATGGCTAACCTTGTCGTCGGAAGTGATCGGTGACCAAAGCGGTGATATGACAGCGAACTCGATCTTAGTATTCAGTCAATTACTAAGGGAAAACAGTGTACGACTAGCGAGTTTACTGAGGGATGCAGCACACATGTTATCATCAACTGTGGCAGTATCCACGGATCGGCCAGTACGAGATGTGTCGGCTTACTTTAATCATGCTCTGAATGCCATTTTGAAGCTTGGAGACTTTCCATTCATCTTTACTACTCCTCATTTTGTAAGTTGTTGGGTTTTATATTGTACTTTAAGGGCTAGCGAAGGGTAGGGTAGGGTTTTGATATACATGTACTTATATGATATAAGCAGTTTGATACTTTATATGATTCAAGATAACATTGAAATGATTTAAAATTTCAGCTCCGAGCCACAAATCTCCTCCAAAGCCAACAAGACATGATCTACTTCCTCCACCAACACTTTGAGACCTTCACCGAGAAACGAGAACAATGTATTAGAGCGTTAAATCAGATGAGAGCAGCATTGAAGCTGCAAAGTCTAGGCTCACAACGAGAAAATATCAACAATCAAGAGGCGGAACTCTGCAAATGTTTCGAGAGATTGTTCTTCCAACTTTTGAGTATCTTGGAGAGATTCAAAGGCATTGTTGGACTGATCAGGGATTCACCAAACTCTGATGTATGTTTTTTGGGTATATATTCATTAATAATTTCAATTTTCATGACATTATGTTGTTATGGCTTTTTTGCTAAAATTTTACAATTTTGGCTTGTTTTTAATGTTTTTCCTCACTTTTTCGCAAATTTTTGATTTTTTAGGAATTTGATTTATCCCCAGCAGTCCTCCGCTTACACCACGATCTCCTAGAGTCGGTAAGCGATGTTCCACTTGGCGATGCTCGAACATCAACCACTTCTTTGAACATACCACTAAATGAACAACTAATCGACAAGCTTTTCCTTCATTTGACTAACAAAAACTACAAAAGTGCTTTGGTGACTTTGCGTCAGTTGAGGTAGGTCATAAAGAAATTAAAATTTTTTATTAATATTATGGTATTTAGTAGTTTCTGTACTTAAAAACTTTCTATTTTTATCTTTTTTATGGTATAAAGCAGTACATGTTATAGTATTTATCATTTTATGTACATACCCTTCTATTTTCACGTTTCAGAAGTCAATACGGAAGTGAATTTGGCTGCTGCGATCACATGGACGTGGACGTCCTTCTAGTCCAGTTTTGTCGCTCTCACCGCCTCAGAACTTGGGCTTTGATTGGGTCTTTAGACTCATTAAGTCAAGGATCAGACTTACTGAAAGAGACTAGTATGCAAATGAGTGCTTTGGTTCGATCCATGGAGCGAGATTCGTCAGTACGATCATCAAGAGTAGGCTCCGTCGCTGAACCACCGCATTTCAACACGAATTGAAGATAGTCTGTCTTGTAAGTTGCTTTAGTCTATCTTGTTTTAGCCTTATCTTGGTTTTACTTTGACAAATAAGCTTTTAATCGAGCTTCTATTAGGTGATTCAAATAATTCTGGGCTCTATAATCCCGAAAATTTGCTTTGAGAGATGCACAGAGTTATGTGAACGACCTAATACTGGAGCTTCTACTAAGTTTTATGGTTGATTTTAAGCATTTCGACCGTTGTAAAAGGCTATATTGGTCTAGCTAAGCCTAAAAACACCAATAAAGTTTATGGTCTATTAAATGTCAGTTAAAAAATAATCAAATTGTGTCAAAATAATTGTAAAACGCCGTCAAAAAGACTTGAAATTGTAAAAAAGTTGTCAAATACTAACTCATCTACTGATGAAATGAAGCGTTTTCAGTCTGTTTTACATAATGTTTTGCTGTTAAAATTGTAAAAACTACTCTAAATATTTTATAGAGCTAACAGTGTTAGTCTAACACTTACTAGGGAATTGCACCAAACATCCCTCGGCTTTTTGAACGAGACCTATATAGGATGAAAGAGCATAAAAAGTTATTAGGAGAACTGTTTTCAAAAACTGCTAAATGGACTTGGCTAGCGAGTTACAGTATGCTCTACATCATTATATGTTTAAAGGGTATAGCTTTAAAGTTCAAAAAATGATATTTTTTGATAATTATTTTTTCCTAAAAGTGTCTAAAAGCAAAAAATACAACTTAAAAAACTTTTTTTAACCAAAATATTGTTTGGCTAGCCAAACCTTCTTGTCAGCATGGCTGGGCGCCAAAATGAAACCGGCGGGATCCGTACTTCCCCCCTTTTGCGCCCCAGACTAACTTGTTAACCATTCGACCACACTGGATTAAAGCTTCAATCCATTCGTTTTACTCAAGACAAATGAGAATGATCAAATAGGAAACCCTATGTAAATCCTTTAATCGCTAATATCTTGCTAGCCGAATCTATTTAGCAGTTTTTGAAAACAGTTTTCCCGGTAACTTTTTATGCTCTTTCATCCTATATAGGTCTTGTGCAAAAAGCCGAGGGATATTTGGTGCAATTCCCTAGTTAATATAACATTGATATACTGAGATCAGTGGTCCTATAATATATTTCAATCTCTGAGAAGTTCATTGATCCTATGATATATTTCAATCATTCTGATAACTTGTAATGTCCTAAGATCTATTCCAGAAACAAATGCGTGTACTTTAATGTAATTTACTTAATTTTTGGGCTAATTTCATAAGTTATTTTTTTTTATTAATAATCCTACTAAATATGATAATAAAAAATAATATTTTAGAGATAATGAGGAAATCTTAAAACATGTTACTTAAAATTTAATAATTTGTAAAACACTTTATTTAGAACAACTTGTGTTAAAAAAATATTGCACTTAATGTGCTGTAAAAAAGAAAGTTGTCTTTTAATGAAAGTCCCAGGAGCCCATTTTAGGTCCGGTAACGAAAGATTTGGCTTGCGAAAAGTTTAAACGAATTTGATTTTAAAGCTATTGCTTAAAAAAAATTTTGAATTTTTTATAAAAATTAATGCTAAATTGTTGTTATTCAGAACACAGAAGCTGTACGATACAAGTTGTTTCAGTTATTATTTTAATGAATTGATATAAGAGGTTGGGCCACACCGGGCCGAAGCAAATTTAAAAAGTGCCAGGCCGAAAATTTGGACTAAAGTGAGCTAGGTCTTTTTTCAGGTTAAGCTTAGTACGTAGCTTTTATTCTGTTTTATTAACTCTATTTTGATTATTTTTTGACAAACAATTGCTACTGCTATTGGTTTAATATAGTGTCAAAAATCAAGTAGAACAAACAGGTAGGCGATGTTTACTTTATGCACTTGACGCCCATTGTTTATCGTTCCAAATAAAGTCGGGTTATAGGTCCGCCGTGTCTCATTCGGGTAATTAGGTCAGAAAATCATGTGGTCCAAGTTGTAAGTTTTTTTATTTCATGAAATGTTACTTCGAAATTTTGTGATTTGTCTAGTGTTTCAAAATGCGTTACAGTTCACGGATAAACGTTATAAGTGATGCAGAGGAAAAAGTAGACTTGAAAGTCCTAATGCCGGGCTGGCATATGTGCGTCTGAGGACCGGGACCTGAACCAAAGCCCCAAGGGCCCAACTCAGGTCCCGCGACAACTTTTGAAAAGCGTAAATATTTAAAACATACAAAGATATTTTATAAAAGGTTAGTTATTATATTTTGTTATATCGTATAATTTAGATTATTTGTTGTACTAACCATAGTTGGCTTCAAAGTATGTTACTCTGCTGAAGATGCACAAAAAATGTTTCCTGTTATGGGCCCAAGTTCAGCTGCTGTAAGTTAAGAGAATATTCAAATTACCGAACTTTATTCGACTATTTTAAAATGGTTTTTATATCGTATACTGTAATGTTTTGATAAAACTACCCTCTGTGATTCTATCGTGATTTCAGTTTCCTCTACGCAACAGCTACGTACCACAAGCAGTGTCATACGCATCTCCAGCTTATGTGTTTGCTAGCTACTCTTCTGGTGGTTATCGTTTACAAGGCGAAGGTGGGAAAGCAGAAGGAGAGGATGATGAAGATGAAAAGAGAAAAAGAAAATTCATGATGAGCCATAGACGGTTTCAGTAAATAAATATATTACTTAAACAAACTACAGTAACAGATTTTGATAAATTTATAAGAAATGACAAGTCACTGTGTAACTCTTGTATAACGACTTCCTATGCTTGTTAGTTACAGCTTTAATTAATTCAAACAGAAGACATTCGACTCAATATATAGTTCTCTGATGCAAAACTTTCAAGAATACGTTGCGACGATCGGAGTAAATGTGAGTCAAGGACGCGATTCGTTCGAGACTACTGCAGGTCAAAGAAGATGTTTTTGGTTTCGGATCTCGATGTTTTTTAGTAAACTACGTAATAAAATTGCGGAAAATGTAAAACCTAAACTAATCTTGTGGCATTCTTGTCAAATTTTTATTATTTCTATTCTTTATTTCATGTTAGTTCAAAGTGTGTATTCCCATGGGCTGGCTTTGAGCTTAATGAAGGTGGGTTTCACAGTTTCTGTAAGCTTATTTTGTTGTAGTTTGAAAAATATGTAAGGATGAACTACTTCTTTATGGGTGACTATTTGCACCTTGGCAAAATGGAATATCTGTGGCCGATCAGCACACATCCATTTTTGTATGGCTCTTATGCGACAGCGGCTTATTTAGTTGCTAGGAAGATGTAAGTGTTGTTTGTAAAGTAATAGAGGAGGTCGTTACGCAAGAGTTCTGCTGTATAATGAAGGTTTTAAAAAAAATATTACAGTATCCTACCAGACCTCACCACCGAAGTCAAGTATGGAAAAATACAAAAGATTTTCATAATGGCCACAGCCGGCTTTGTTTGGACTCGGCTACAACAAAGATTGTCAGAATTTCACTTTTTGGTTTTGTTGCTGAGTTACCTACACTATTTAGTAACTTTATCAATAGCCAGCGTCGTAGCTGCTACTTTTGACAAGGCTTTTCTTAAAGTAAAAACTGAATAAATCTTGATTTATATTTTAAAACCGATTAGCTGACAAAAAATATAATTTCGTAAATGTAACCGCGAGAACGATCGTTTTCAATAATCCGAGATTTTTAAAAACGCCAATCCGCCGAATGGAAAAGATATGCAGATTTTCGCATCATTTTCCATCATTTCACTGTAATTCGTCGTCAAAAATGTTTGTCTACGCTATATTATTTTTACTGGGCGCTCAATGTTGCGTAAGTTTTCCAATGATTGAAGTTAGAACGGCTAATGGATATGAATTGCATGGTGAGTATTTTACTTTATAGCCAGTTTGATACAACCATCAATATAAACGGTTTGGAACGAGAACCTAAACAAGAAATGTTTTTACACGTCATTTTAAGTACGATGGAGCGTAAAACTTATTCAATTCTGCAAAATTACAGAAACCAACAACCCATCATCGAACCTGTTCAACAAGCTCATGATGTTGAACTCAATGCTGGGATTGGACTCATCTGTTTTCAAAATTCCACAAAAGAGTTACATTGAAAAGCCTACTGACAATGAAATATTTAATTATGCTTTTAGAAATTTTAATGAAATGAGAGTATAAACTTGGCTATAATTTTTATTATGTGGCTGTAAATTATTATACTATTCCTTTTACGTATATTATTTTGAAAAATGGAGCAATGATATCATTAATTCAAGAAAATACAAAAATACAGTGATGTCACACTCCCTAGATACGTTTTGGTAGGAGTTCTCTTCGAATTTTCGGCTTGTATCATAATTGTGAAAAAATGTGATTATTAGACAATATAACTTTATTCAGTGGCTATATTTACAATCACAGATGGCTTAAAATAGTATTTTCTATATATCACACGTTGAATTTTTTTTAAACTTAATAAAATGCACAGTGCAATCATTAAATTTAAAAAAAAACGCAACGTGCATAAGTCAATACTAACATATCATTCCTCAAATGGTGGTTCTGGTCGATTTCGCTCCGAAGAAAACTGAAATCCAGCCATTTCCAATACAGCCTTGTCTGGATTGTCGTCCCAATTCCCAGGTAATGGCACTTTTTGGTTTCGTTCGGCCGCCATTCTTTGTCGTAGTTTTGTCGCAGCTTGTGCTTTCAGGGCTTCATCGTCGCCGCAACCCCAAACCTCAATAGCGGCGACGTTGTCGAAGCCGGCGTTGACTGTGAACGCGTCTTTGAAGCCTAATCCAAAGCCAGATGTTCTGTATTTGAAGTTGCAGAAGATTGGTTCTGGGTTTCGACTTTCGAAAAGCTTGAGTTTTGGCGCGATTTGAAGACATTTGGTGAAGGATGAGCCGAAATTCTTGGTTGTGTGTCTGAAATTTGAAAATAAAACGTGTTTCTTCATCAAAATGCGAAAAATAAATTGATCTACCTAAAAACCGTGGATAAAACGGTTTTTTTTTCAAGTTTCAGCTGGCCAGAAGCTCATTGGAACTTACCTCCATTCCGAATTATTGGCCAAAACAAAGATTTTTCCATCGTTCATTTTAAATATACATACGGTTGGGCTTTGGTATCCAAAAACCTTTCCTTCAAAGCCATTCACACTGAGACCATGAGTGTTACTTTCGTATAAAATGTGCCAACATGGCAAATCGACTCCGGGTTGTCGCTGAAAATAAAAATTTAGGGCTTTAAAAAATATTTATTTGGGTATGATTAAGTAAAGTCAAATATTTAAATCTATAATATTATTTCTGGGGAACAGACCTTGAGCAAAATAAAAATTGTGTCTAAAATTCAGGTCCGGCCCGATCTCCATATTTATATTGAAAAACCTACTTTATTTTGAAAATAGACCATTTCTGGCATAGCACCTTGAACACAGAGCATTTGAAATGGCGATAGTAGACCCGATTCGGAGGCATAGACAATATTTTCCGGCAATGGACATAATTGTTGTCGTATTTTGCCCATTAAGCAGTTTTGAATGATTCCTGGCACATTTGATTCTATGAATGATGCTGGACTTGAACTGGCCTGAAATAAGTTTATCAGGGCCCGAAACTTTTTACACAACTTAATATCATTTCAAAAAAGTTTCAAATTTTAAAAACTCCTTACACTTTCACAAAAACCACTGATAAACTCTTGATTGTCACCACTTTTTGACTTGTCTACAGATTCCAATATGGCATCACAAAAGTCCTCAAGTGATGATGACAATTCAACTAGGTTTTGGGTGTTCAATTCGTACAAATTGTAGAATTTGTCAGCAAATTCTTCTTGGTTAACATCTTTTTGGTCGAAAAATTTGTGAATCAATCCGCCCAAGTGAGGTCCGAGAATGTTCTGAAAATATTTTTATTACTATTTAGTTCAAATAATTGTGTGCCTCCTCTCATAGTAAATTTTCAGGGTTTGGGGCATAGAATTATTTGAACAATTTAATATTAACCCTTCAAGGAAGGCATGTTGCTAGCAAAATAAAAAAAATATTAACCTTTTACCAATGTACATGTCACGTAAAAGACCTAATATTGATGATCTCAACCTTTACGCTACAAAAACTAGGGTTTTTCGCGAATATTCACTTTTATTTTTTAATCGTATTCAAATCGAAATTTTGAAAACGCCAAAGGTCGACGGAATGCCGGTTTTCACCCATCATTTCAATCCTAATCTGTCGCCAAAATGTCCGTCTATTCTTTGTTATTAATATTATGTATACAAACGTGTTTTGCCTACCCATCGCAACGCAAAATTTACGCGGATGAGGCATGGGGACTACCTAGTGAGTAGGGTAATGTGTTGTAGTAGGGCAACACATCCAAATTGTTGTGTTTATGAGAACGGGGTAGACTTTTTATATGAATGTTGTCAAACACTACTAAACCTTTCCAAAAATTTCAGCAATGGACTTCAAAACTCCCATCTGGGACATAATCAACGGTCTAATGCATTTGTCCTCAACGTTTGGCCTAGACCCCATAAATGCCGTCAATGTTCAGCCAAACATCGTTCGAAACGAAGACAATTCCACTGACATTGAACTGTCAATTCATGAAGTCGAGCCAGAATCGTGTAATGTCACCATTACCGACCACATCCTAACCGTCAGCCATGTGAGCTTCAGACAAATGGGTGGATTGACGGTGAAACGAAAGGTTCACGAAGAGTTTTACATTCCAAAAGACGTGAATGATAAGGAAATAGCGTGGAGAATGCATTCGAATCATTTGATTGTTTATGTACCTCCGAGTAGACAATATGTTAGTGAAAAGAGCATCAGGTACGACCTGTCCAGTATGCATGGTGATAATGTTATGAGTAAGGAGCGTGGTCGATAAAATTATGGAAATGGTCGATAAAAGGCTTTGTGTGGTGTTTTATACAACTAATAAACTTTTTTTACTTTTTTTATTTTTCGATTTGCAAAAATAAAATTTTTAAAAATATTTACGGAAATCAAACTTTATAGACTTTAAAAGCTTTTTTCGACCAGTCGTAGCCAGAAATTGATAAAATGAGTTTGCATGAAGATGCATTATACCTTTGGCTAAAATACCAAGTTTTTTTTTATAAATTTCACTAACAGCTCTCCGGGTTATACGTTAATATTGTTGTATATCACCATATTTTTCGACGCAAAACCGGTTATTTTTAATTTTTCCATTCAAACCATCAATTTCTAAACATTCCCAACTAAGAAAACTACTTACACTCCAATCGTGGCCACTGATAACTTTCCCATCTCCTGAAGCCTTCTCAAACGCTTTTACCGCCGTTTCATACATTGCTGGTCTCGTGTTTTTATGTTTACTATTACTTGATTCGGAGTTTCCCATTGTGTCTATGTCGGTTTACCTGTAATTTATGGTCTATACAAAGGGTTTTTAACAGTGTCATGATTTCGAATCATGTTTGTAAACAAAAATAACGAAACAGTTGAAAAAAGTGGCAAAAGAGCAGAATTGAACAGTAAAAAAAGAGCTTTAGGTTAACAAAACGAGACAGCAAGTTCAGATAGTGGAAGGGAATTATGGAATTATAAGTTTATGTGAACTTCGTTATGTAAAATCGACCTAATATAACGTAAAAATAATTTTAAAAAAATTTGAAGAAAAAACCTTTAAAACATCAAGGAAAATATGGAACATCATTAATTATAATTCAACAGTTATAGTCAACCGAAAATTTTTAAAACCTGGTTATGTTATCAATTTCCCAAATTTCCATAAAATTAATTTGGGCGCAGCAAGAAAAATTCTTTTCTGCAGCCTGCAAAGCAAAATCATTTTATTTGCTTGTAAAAAAACGTGTTTTTTATAAATGTAAGCTGGAAAAACGTTTTACATTGCTATTTATCAGGGTAAGTTGTGTCAAATATTCAGTTTCAATGAGCATTTATATATTTTTGTCTATTTTTATATTGTAAATTTTAAAAATTAGGGGTGTTTTGCATTTTTTGCGATGTTTTGTTAATTTTGTGTAAAACAAGACAATTGTAGTGTATAATTTACTTTGTTTTTGATGTATTTTGAGCTTCTGTAGTCATCTAGAAAATCAATCTTTTATTTTATTTACGAGTTAAGACTGATCGTGAATCTTCGATAATGAATAATATTAAGTTTGGTGTCTTGCGACAAAATTATTCTTTTTCTTAACGTCGATATGCTTTTGAGCGGGATTTTTTGATGGAAAAAGGACATATGGTATTATGGATGCATTTTGAAAAGACTTCATTTTGTTTAACTTAATTTTGAATAAACCATGGCATTTATACGTGAAAATTGAATTTTATGCGCCTAATTAGTACAATCTATTGTATTATAGTACTGATAAGATTTTGATTGTCTTCTGACATTACCTTGGTTTTACTTTTTAGGTAATAAATGGAAGAAGATGCAGCTGATGATGTGGCGGTAGGAATGGAAGAGCTTACTTTGGTTGATGAATTAAGTGACAGTGATGATGATCCGTCTGTTGTCTACATATCCGATACAAGTCAAACTGAAGAAGAACGTATACCGGAAAGCAAGTTGAAGACGAGAAAGGAAAAGAAGAAGGAGAGAGAAGACAAATATCATGGTACACCATTGACCAACGAAGAGGTGAGTGCCTAAAAATGGCCATAATTTTGTTGATTTTTCATGTTTAGGTATGAAAATTTGAGAAAAGCGAGGTGAAAGTGTGGAGTTTGAATAGTGTTGCAGGAGTTTTTAAAAGATATAATAAATTTTGGGATTTAGGTTGATAAAGGTTGGCAGTTAGGTCAAGAAAGTGATTTGGTCAAGATTGTTTATAACTTTTAAAAATTTTAATTTTTAAGCTTGTATTTATAGGAAAGCTATATGATATCATGTAGTTTATGACATACTACACGACGTTTTTTAAATTTTGTTTTTAGAAGCTAAGGGGTAAAAATACTAGCATGGTAGACTATAATGGTCATATCTTTTTTAAATTTGGCCATTTAGAAACGAAATTTTAGTACAAGCAAGACAAGGTGATAGTGTTTAAGATGCTATGTAATCTTTTTTGAAAAAATGAAATAACATTGGCATTTTTTCAGTTGATTGAGATGATGAACCGTCATGAAGACGATATTCGAAAGTTTTTGGACGAATATTTGGCTTCTCCGAGGATGAAAGAGAAGAACAAGGACTACAAATCAACTATAGATTTGGGAGACAAGATCGCGATTACTGTAAGTTTTTTTAATATGTTGCGTTGATGTTTAGGTATCGACAGGAGTTGTATGTTACTGAACAATAAATTTTACTGAGTGGGATTTCCTTTTTAAACTGAATGTTTAAAGTTTAAACTTTGAAAAGTAGTTTTCAAAAATAGGGTTTAAATTTTAAACTGTAAGACGAGATAAACTTTTAAATTTTCAGTTTTCAATATTGACGTTGAGCAATCTGCGTTGTAACAAAATATCTTTTGTTTGTACGTCATTGTTTCAAACGAAAAATCATGTAGCTCCAAAGAACTGTATGGTTGGTTATGTTCAAATGAATTGTCAAAATGGGAGGCTTGCCTCTCACTATGGTGAACTTATCAGTCTTTTGAAGGATTTTTTGAGGAATCGTAAGTTATTTTTGGTGTGTTTGGTCATATAATACATTATTAATGTAGTTATAATTAAAAGAAAATATTTTTTGCTTTGATTTTGACAGAAATTGACTGCATTTTGAAGTTTGAAGGCTTTTATGAAAGGAAAATATTAGTTTACTTACCTAAACATGAAAATAATTGAAAAATATGAATTTTGATAGCTAAAAATCTTAAAACTTGTTACTGAACCATTAAAACAAATGCAGTTGTATTGCTTCAGCCGAAGAAAGATCACCAATTCCGGACGGTTCGATCCCAATCTTAGAAACAATGAATCTTATACCTAATGTTGTGGAGCAGAAACGTTTCAGCAGCTTTTCGTTATACTGTACTTGTTGTGAACAACATATAAAGAACATGTTGTCTATTTTGGAGCATGTTCGGTGTAGGGAACATGAATTTTTCACTATGGTAAGATTTTATTGCAAATTTTTTGTAGCATTTGAATTCTTCTGAAACTCGATTTTTTACAAAATTATTAAGTTTTCAATTAATTCTGTGCCTCTTTTTTAGCGATTGCAAGAACGTCGAAGCTTGGCCAATTTTGTAAGACAGCTAAACAATCAGAAACTGCTACCTCTTGTAAGCTGTATCAAAGCCGAAATTGAATTTCAAAAACGTGAAGTTGACGCTATGATTGGGTCCTTGGTTCAGCTCAATATCTGCAATTTTCACAATTTTTTGACCAACGAAATTACGGAGAAATTGGCTGGTAAGAACTGGAAATTTTTTTTGATGATTTTTTCAAGTTCATTTTAATTTTTTTGAGTTTAAATATAGTGAAATGCTTATAAAGTAGTCCTGTGAAGGGGCCGAGCCGTGCCTAATTTTTCGGCCCAGTAAAATCTTTCGTTGCGAGACCTAAGCTGGTTTTTGCTTTCTGACCGGCTCTTCATACAATGCGGTCTTTTTCAAATTTGTTTTGGTCAGACCGAACCTAGTGGGCTCCTTATCAAATCTAATATAGAGTGCGTTTAAAGTTCCTGTAAATCGAAACTCCATCATAAAAAACAAATTTAAAACCCTCAAGCAAATCGTTATACAGGAGTTTCACTGCACACAAATTTTAATTGATATTTTAATAAAAATCATTTAGGGTTACTAAAAAGAAAGCCAGAAGTCCACGTAGTACTATTCGGAGGTCTACCATCCAGTCTAGCAACTCCAGGCAATCCATTCGTAGTTGATGCCTACATCAACTTCGAATCGAAAAAGAATATTCCATTGAACAAGAAACGAGCATACCTTCAAAAAATCCTGAACGGCGAACAAATGTTGGATTTCGCTTTTCCTGGCGGCAAAGTTGTCATGAAATACCTGGGAAAACCCTTGACCTTGTTCTACACGATGGACCCAAAGGCGGAGGAGGCGGCGCTGTTAAGCAAATTACTTCATTTGTACGCCAGCTTCTTTCCAGACTTTTATAAAGCTGCTATACATATCAGGATTTGGGGAAAGGTAAGGGATTGTCATTTTTAAAATTTTTTAAATAAAATTGCACTGAAAATTTGAAAATTTTTTAAAAAATTTGTAATGCAAAAGTTTTACTGTATTTTGCAGGGCTTCTATTGTATTTAAATACGTTTTCAATTTTCAAAAACTCACTGATATCATTCCAGAGGATGGGTTTCAATTCCACCTTTGACGATCGTGGTGTATCAGGTGTCGTTTTCGACATGATGGTCCTATTCTTCCTCCAACGAAAGGGTGTCATACCAATCGTCAACGAACAAGCCTTGGGCATGTCATTCAAAGAATTCTTCGACCAACCCTACCGATTCCAAATACGCGAGTTCGAAGAAGTCGGAAAACAACCAAGAACGTTTGATGTCGCGACTGTCATCTTCGACTTGTTCTCCTACTACTCGGCTGAATTCGATCCAGCTGAAATCATTCAAATCGTGGACAAAAACCCCGTTTACAAAGAGAGAAAAGGCACCAAAACCTGGGTGGTCGAGTGTCCCATGACCAAAGCCAACCTGTTTCAATGCCGTTTGGAAATAGACGCCTTCTTCCAATCCGTCATCTTCTACTCCACAGTCTCAGCGTTCCAAGTCAAGGATCACACTGGGAAGTTGGTCGATTTTGAGTAAGTTGCTTTTGTATTGGGTAGAGGATAAGGTCAGGAACATGGTTAGATGGAGGTTGGGGATTAGTGAATGCAGGAAGGGAATCTACCTACCCTAGGGACGATTCGAAAAATAAAATTACGAGGTAATTGTAAGTGGAAAAATGGGAAAATCTTTGAAAAATGGGTGCGCAGGGTACACGTTACCCTACACATAAAAACGGGGAGTAGAGGAAGAGAGAGGGTAAATACAGTGGCGGCAGGGACTTCGCTACGGATTTTCTCTGGGGGGAGGGGGAGACCGAAAAAATTTTTTTTTGTCCACAGGTGGACCGTTTTCAAAAAATTTTTTTTTCGTTTTTTCACGTACAGGTCCTGTGGAATTTTTTTCGGATTGGCTCTGGGGGAGGGAGTACCCCCCCCCCCCCCCTCACCCAAACGACGTCCCTGAGTGGCGGCTACAAAAAATGGGAGACGACGGTTTTGAGTGTAACTTTCTTGAAACTAAAAGAGGAAGGCTTAAAATTTTTGTGATTTTACAATATTCTTTTTGTCAACAAAATTGCAAAAAAAAATTTTTTTCTTGTCGATTCAAAAACATTACAGTAATTCTACTGTACCCTATAATTCCGAAGTATGTTCATAAATTTTTTTAAATCGAAGATGTACGTTTTAAGTTCTGAAAGTCTTATCTTATGGTTGTTTCTTATTCATGAGATAAGAGCATTTAAAAATGGTCAACAACCAAACAAGTTCGATTCCGCTTGAAAAATCGAAGATTTTTTAAATTTTAAAATCTGTAACTTCTTTACCGTAGGAGATGCAATATTAAAACATTCAAAAGTTGTGCAACTTTTTATGCTCTATAAAAAGTACATCTTTGATTTAAAAAAATATGCACATACTTCGGAAGTATTGGGTACGGTAGAATTACTGTAACTTTTTTGAATCGACAATAAAAATTTTTTTTTGCATTTTTGTTGACAAAAAGAATATTGTAAAGTCACAAAAATTTTAAGCTTTACTCTTTTAGTTTCAAGAAAGTTATACTCAAAATAGTCGTGTCCCATTTCTTATTGCCGCCACTGTATTTACCCTCTCTCTTCCTCTACTCCCCGTTTATGAGTGTAGGGTAACGTGAAGTAGAGTAGGGTGATATTCCTTTATTAAATAATTCAAATTTTGTTTTAGACGATCCTGGTGTTCAACGATGCGCGGTCAAAAACTACCTTTTCTTTGTGTGGCAAAACCAAGCACTCGCTCAAATGCGAGAATTCCACAGCTTATGCCACCACACAATGGCACTTTTCATCTGCATCATGGCGTGGTAGGTCTTGTTGAGCTTTTGAAATTTTATTGAAGTTTCTAGGTTGGAAACAACATATAACTTCTTTTTATCTTGTTGAAATTAAAAATTTTAAAAAGACACTTTTGAGACAAAAATAATTTTAGTACACCCCTAATCTCGAGTGCGACTTCTGCGGCGAACGTCATGTGGAACGAGATTGCTACAAACTGAAGATGGAAGCAATCGATAACAAGCCAGTAGCGCCCGAAGTCATCAAAAGGCTAGATGATCTCATCTCGAAACAATATCACGAATTAAAGGCTACAGAAGCATGCTTGATCAAGGCCAAAAGTTTTGTGGATGACTTGAAGTCAGAGCTGCGAAAACACTTGAGCAATGACGATATTAGACTAGACCTTTTCGGCTCTCTAGTGTCTGGTTTTGGCTCAATCGCTAGCGATTTGGACGTCTGTTTGCGGCTACAGCACGATGAAGTCACGGAACAAGATATAGAAGTAGGCAAAGTGCTGCTGAAGAAGACCTACGACTACCTACTGAGGAATAAGTACATTTGTCGACTGGTCTCGAGTGCCAAAGTACCAATTGTCAAATTCGAAAGCAAGAGCTTGGGATTCAGTGGAGATATCAGCTTCTACAATTGTCTGGCACTACACAACTCCCAGATGCTCCGAGAGTACTGCGACTTTGATGAAAGGGTACCGGAGCTGGGAGTGGCTATCAAAGCATGGGCACGAGCTTTTGACATCAACGATGCTTCGCAAGGAACGCTGAGCTCATACGCTTTGATTGTCATGATGATCTTTTATCTACAGAAGCTGAAAATACCTGTTTTGCCGAGGTTGCAGGTATGGTTTTGAATTTAAGAAAGGTTTTGAGGGGTTTTAATGGTGATAATTGGGGAAACCTGATCTATTTGAAATTAAAATTTATTAAAAAATTGATTTTGATACAAAAAAGTGTTTTTCAGGACCCAACTTCTTGCCCAGATCTGAATTCAGAGGAAGAAAAATCAGTAGGAGAATGGAAAGTTCATTACTACAAACCCACGAAAGAGTTCAAGGACGCCTTCAAGAAGAACACACAAAGTGTTGGTGAATTGTTTGCTGGATTCTTCGACTTCTACGCCTCTTATCAGTACAACGAAGAGGTGGCACAGATCAGAGATGGCAAAGTTTTGACGAAAATTGAAAAAGAATGGACCAAACACTTGTTGGCTGTCGAAGATCCCTTCGACTGGGATCATAATCTATGTTCTGGGGTTAGGAAAGTTAGTAAGTGGATATTGGTTTTAAGATATGAAGGAGATAACGCGAGAAAATTAATGGATTTGAACTCCTCGCGACTATATTTTGGCCTTTTGTTGAGAGTTTTTCAGTTTTTTTTTATTTTACCACCGTTTTATGTCATTTTTGATGTTGCCATAATACTAAACACCTAATTCCAGCTGGCCTGTACATTATGCACACCATGAACGTCATGCAACATGTCCTCCGAACCAAAAGAGACATTATTCGTTCGCCTGACTTTTTACTGGACAAACTGGACCAGTTTGTACCAAACACGAGGGGTTCTGTGGGAAAAGTCTGCTTCCATTGTCACAACAAAGGCCACATGATACAGAAATGCCCCAAATTGGCGGAAAAGCGAAAGTAAGATGGTTTTATTGGATTGATCTTGCTTGGGGCAATTTAAAAAAAAATTTGAATAAAGATAGAAGGTGCAGTCTGTACAAAACTTCGCATTACAATTTACTGTTTGTTTAACTTACCTTCAACTAAATTGTATTTTCCAGAATGAACAAAAAACTGGCTATCGTGAGAAAGCAACGAGAAGCCGAACGAAAACTCGTCAAAGAAAAAGAACAACAAATTGAAGACGAGACGGCCAGAGTCAGTAGAGAAAAAGGAGAGGACTTCAAGAATCGCGTGAGGGAAAAGTTGGCCAATGAAAAACCATCAGCGTCGCACTTAAAAGGCCGAGACCTACTAGATGTTGCCAGAGCACGAAAGAAATTAGAAAAACAAAATGGTACTAATGGGACCGGAAAGGTGGTGACAAAAGATAATAACAACAAAGATGGAATTGGAAACACCAAAGAAGTGTATGGAAAGAAGAAACCGAAAACATTGTCGCCAAAGATTGGGAGGAAGTTGATGTCACCGAAGGTTGAGAAAAAGGTGATGTCACCGAAGAACGGTGAGAATCAGAAGGTATCGTCATCCAAGAATGGAAAAAAGAGTGGCAATAACAGCCCAGAACCACCGAGTACGTCCTCGAAGAAGAAGGATTCTCGAAAGAAATCAAAAAGCTCAAAATGATCTCCATATCCATGACACCCGAGAATGATCTGGGTGTTATCTAAGGTTGTAGCCGATGTTATTCAAGGCGTAACTGATGTTATTCAAGGTGTAGCTGATGCTATTCAAGGTTGTAGCTGATGTTATTGTAGCTCCTTTTACCAAATGCCTCAATTTTAGTATTTATGTTGTAGACGATTTTAGTAATAGCTCGTTTTATTTTATGTTGTTGTAAGTGTTTTCGGTCGAAAAGTAAACGTGTTTTGGCCATTCTTGTTGTGTTTGTCAAGTTTTTGTTTGAAATATGTCATTTTTGTCATAATTTACCTTTGATTTTTTTGAAAATGTCATCTTATGTAAGGTTTATATAGAGTAGAGTTTGTTTCTATAGGGTAGGGAAGGTTTTGGAGGTTGAAAAAGTTTGTTTTGGCTTTGTAATGAAAATTCTTGCTGTTTTATGTTATGTAAAGAAATTTTTTGCCATTTTATGTTTTGTAAAGAAAATTCTTGCTAGCTTTTGTTTGTAAAGAAAGTTCTTGCTAGCTTTTGTTTGTAAAGAATTTTCTTCTTATTTTGCCTGCTTGTAACAAAAGTTTTTCTATTTGTTTAATATTGGTGTACATAATATACATTACTCCATATTATATGTTAAGTCTGAAACATATCATTTAGTTAGATTTCATGAAAATGTATTCGAAAACAGCTCAGTCTTTACAAAACTCAAAACATGAAATGCTTTGTTGTTATAATCCTTGATTTTGTAGACGTTGGTTAGTATTATCTCTATATTTTTTATTATGGGTCTTTTTTGCTGAATAAATTTACTATCGTGCTGAAATTTGTGGGGTTTTTATTGGAAATGGCATTTTGTTTACAACAAGATATTTTTTTGAGCAAAGTTGTCTAACATTTGGACTTTTACGATATTAAACTGGACCTTTTTTGGATCACTACTATCAGTTTTGGCTCAACAGCTAGTGATTTAGACGTCTGTTTACGGCTACAGCACGAAGAAGATATTGAAGTAGGCAAAGTGCTGCTAAAGAAGAACCACTAGTACCTACTGAGGAAGAAGTATATTTTTTGACTGGTCTGGAATGCCGAAGTACCAATTGTCGAATTTGAAAGCAAGTGCTTGGGATTCAGTGGAGATATCGGCTTCTACAATTGCCTGGCTCTACACAACTCTCAGATGATTCGAGCGTAATGTAACTTTGATGAAAGGGCACCACAGGTACCTGCACCATCTCATTTTGGCTTTTCAACTGGTCTTTTTCTTGGCGGAGCTACTCAATTATTTTTCTCGACCATCTTCCGTCTCATCCAATCTTTATGTTCAACAACAAGGTTTTCATATTTTCCCGCAACGATTAGTCTTCACGCCAAAATTCTCTGGCATTCTGTTTTATCCTGCATTTATCGCAAAATTGTGGTTTATTTTGCCCGGTAATTGTTTTGTCATGGACTTGTGACGGTTGTATTTGGTCAAAAAAGTAAGTTTTATTATTTTTACAGTCTTTTCAATGTTTAGACATACTTTTCGAGCGTATTTTGGAGGTGTAACGGCAAAATTCGGGGTTTTCGAAGCGTAATTCCGGTATTTTAACGTGTTTCACGTTAGGACTGTTGGGATTTGAAGGGAAACTTGTTGTTTTTAGTTTTATTTGAGAGTTTATTATGTTGTGTGAATGTTTATAAAGTTTATTTTGCGGGTATTGTTGTTTACAATGGGGAAATGTTGTTTTTAAAGGTGGTATGTCTAAAATAACATATGTTTTGGGGTTTCTTTTCCTTATATGTAAATCCGGTAGATCACATGTGCACTTTTTGACGTGCGTTTGGGATGAAACAGATTTGCTTTTGAATATTTATTGGTTTGAGAAAGGGATTATTATGTTTTGTTAGGTCATATATTGTAGTAGATGTTCTTGTTAAATCCATACTAGTTCAGAGTTAAATTTTTCAAAATTATTGATTGTATGTTTGCTAAAAGTGTTTTTAAGTTGTTGTCAAATTACTACAATACATAATTTACGTTAGCAATAATTTTTTTAGGAATAACTTATCTTGTTTTTAATATTTGATGACACTTGATTTTCTCTTACGCGCCTAAAGTACTGTTTATCAATGAACAAACTTGCGTGAAGATGAAAATGGTTTTCATAGTATTATTAACAATATACGTATAAATTTTTGATAAGCTACTGAGCTGGTACACAAAGATATCGTTATTGATAAATGCATAAAATCAACATGGTGTATTTAATTTTAAAAACATGTTTTTGGGTTCTAGAAGGGTCTTAAAATAAGGTTATTGTAGAGCAAACTTTTAAAGTGCATCTCGGTTTATTTACCGTATTGTTTTATTCAGCAAGGTTTGACAGTTTTTGGCTCCCGGAGGGGCTAGGGGTGGGGAAGGAGATATACGGACTTTTTCTATTTTTTTTGGAAGAATGACACATCTTAAAAATCTACTTTTTACATTGTTTCACAAGATAAACATTTCTGGTCGATTTCTCAACCGAAATTTGTTTATCATGATTGCCGAAACCTAAGATGATTGATGACTCGATCACGTGTATGGGGTATCCCTTTTTTAAACTAGAATGTTTTTGATCGACGGGAAACCCCCATTTTTGTTGGACATTTGATTTGTCGATTAAAAAATGTCAAGGATACGGTTGTGAAAGGGATTGATCTTTGCACGATTAAAGTTATTACGCTTTTCGTAAGAATGAAGTTATGACTTTTGGGTTATGATTAAAGTGCAAATTGAGAGTTTGTTTTAGAATTTGGGACAAGAGCGGATGGAATTCATTAGACATTTTTTAAGATTAACAACAGTTTTTCTAGTAGTGATTTTGCCTTAGGTCTCGAGCTCTTCATCATAGGGGAGTTGCACCAAAAGTCTCTCGGGCTTTAGAGTCGGACCTATATAGAATGAAAGATCATAAAAAGTTACGAAGCAAACTATTTTCAAAATTTGCTGAATGGTCTTGGCTAACGAGTTACAGTACGCTCAATATTTTTAAATGGTTTGCTTGATATTAAGGGTCAAAGAATTTACATAAGGAAATTTATTTGACTCTTTTTTGTTTTAAGCAAAGCATATATTGAGCGTACTGTCAATCGCTAGCCAGTGCCATTTAGCAGTTTTTGAAAGCGGTTTTTTCTGTAAACTTGTATGCTCTTTCATCCTATAGAAGTCTCGTTCTAAACCCCGTGGGACGTTTGGTGCAACTCTTTTGTGAGTAAGAGCTCAAGACCTAAGGTAAGATCAGCACTAGGAAAGACTGTCCATAATCTTGTGCAACCCTCTTGTAAACTTCATCGGGCTTTCTTTCTTGGTACTGATTTTCCTCTAGGTCTTGAGCTCTTCGTTAGGCTTGATTTTGCTACCTTTTTGGAACAAGCCATTTCATACCAAGTTGATTAAAATGACTTATTGGTCTGTATTTTGAAGAGCTGCTTTTTCATGTGAAGAATGTATCATTTGTCTGTAAAAAATGTTTCATTGAAACACAATGAAACTTTCTCATACACTAAAAAAGGTAAATCAAAGTCGAAAAGATTATAGTAGTCGTTAAAAGCTGTGCAGTTGCATATTACACTGTTTTGAGAATGAACTTTGTTAAAAGTTTAATTGATGAGCTCCTGGGTTTGTCAACGACATATTCGCTTCTTCTTATACGTTAGTTATGTTCGAGTTGCAGACATTTCCATCATAATTTTACTTTCTCTTTATTCGAGTTTCTGAACTGATGCACTTTGAGGTTTGTCTTGTGATAACAATGTGTAATGGATTGAGATTAGGGTTTGATGCAGTGTAGTATTTTTCACGATGGAAGTTATTGTTGTGAGCATCGTTGATTTACAGGCATTTGGGTTGACTGGAGCAAGGGGTTTTTTCATGAGCCCTTAGGAATACTGGGGCTCAATTATAAGAGAAATTCTTAATAACAGACTTTGTTTTAACGGGAAAACTAGGATAGATTTTGAATTTTGATCAGAAGAATTGAAGTTATCTGAAAAATCCGAATTTAATTTATTGTATCAACAATACTTTCTTTTGTCAAAGAAAGTAACGTTGACACACTAAGTTAAAAATAGGCGGATTGTTAGGATCACTTTAATTGTTTTGATAAAAATTCGAAATTTTTCGTCTAGTTTTTCTATTGTTTTGGGACAGTCAAACCCGAATTATTCCCCTTGAATACTTTAAATTCGAAAAGGACAGACAACTTTGAGAGTTTAATAGAAAGCACAAGGGCAATTGATCTTGTTTTCATAAAAAAAGAGGAAATGATGATAACATTGTTAACGGGAACTGTTTACATTAATCTTTATTTGCAAGGTACCCGGGTTTTGTCAAATGATTCGATTTTTGTGCAAAAAATGACAGGTTTTTGTAAAATATATGGTATTTTGGTTTTTGGAGGTAAATAAGCAAAAAGGTTACCAGGGACGTCGCAACGGTTTTTCTCTGGGGGGGGTGGGGGAGTGGGGAGTGGGGACCCAAAAAAAAATTTTTTTGGTCTACAGGTCGGCTATCTGTGGGCCGATTTTTCGAAAATCACGTACAGGTACCTATTTGTGGATTTTTTTTCGGATCGGCTCTGGGGGAAGTCACCCCGATCCATCCCCTCCCAAACGACGTCCCTGAAGGTTACAGTAATGTTGCTGTTTTTGTGGGTTTCTTGGAGATTCTGTAGGCTTTTCTTGGTTACCTTGTTTGTATCTAGGGTTTTCTTTTTTTGTTGGTTGTAGAAGCTTTATAGCGCATGTTGCAGATCGATTCTTTTCTTTTGGTGCTTCTTACAACTAAATAAAATGTTGTATTGTAGTGCATGTAAGAGGTACTCCCTTCTCTATATCAGGTTTTCCAAATATGGTCGATTCATAAATTTACTTTATGAAAACTTCAAAAAAAAGAGAGCGCTTGAGTTTTTACAGTATGGAATACGATGCATTCTGATGATACGATACTGTTGTTGAGCATGATACTTGAAAATCAAAGTTGCTCGCTTTGAAAGGCTCATCTATATTTTGACGAATGTAAATGCTGTATTAGAACTCATAAAAGAGGTATTACACTTTTATACGAAGACACGATACTGTAAATGGCCCCAGAAATAAAAAAAACGTTTTTTGTATGTTCTAGAAAACTTTTTTGGATGACTTTTAGTCCAGGATTGTCATTAAAGAAGGTGGAGCTTGCATTTTTGGGGAACATTCGTCTTTCTTAAGGACACGGAAGTTTCCTACAGTTGTTCTTTGTATTTATTTTTAGTTTTTATTAGGCCAAGCAACTTTTAAAAGGGTTGAAAAGGCCTAGTGAATTAGTAGGCAGAGTTGTGTTGGTTTTTTAATATTAGGTCATTGACAATAGCACTTTGAAGCGTTTGAATTAGTTGATTACATTCTTAAGGGTCGACCTGGGCTGACTGGATTTTACCAGGCTTAACATATCTATTATCTTTGTCATTTTCAGTTGTTAGAATTGACTGAAAAGGTTTTTTTGAAGCCTACAGAGGTTCCTTAACTTTATTTTTTTATTTTTCCATTGGTTGACGTGTCGTATATAATAAAAAATTGAAATTGATAGCTAATAATGACCTTAACTTATCAATTTCTAAACACTTTTTGTCGCAACTGACCAGACGGCTAATTCCCTGTCTGGTCACTGTTGATAGCGATTATTTTTTATATTATCAGATTGGGGAACCCTTCGTAATCAGAGTGGAAAAACTTGAATTTGCCAGTACAGGGTACTCTTATCTGTGCTTTAATAATATAAAGATAACACTTGAGTTGAGGTCAGTGCGTGCATAACATGTGTTAGAGTTAGAAAAGATTAGTAAAATACGTTTTATGAAATCGATGTTAAAAAATTTAATTCAATATAAAAAATTATAGTTTTCGTATTGTGTAGCATTCATTGACAAGGAGAAACTTGTTGTGAATAATATCAAAGAACGAGCGTTTAGTGTTTACTAGGGTTCATATTTGTTAATGTCGACTTTGTTACTGTAACAAATGGGAATCTTAGTGAACGCTAAACACTCGTACTTCTCGTCTATAACGAAACCTTGGGAATTTTCAGTTTGTTGTATATGAAGAGTTTTGTTATATTTTAGAAGAATTTTAACTGCGCTTTGTAATGGAAGAAAACTTTGTCGTTATCTTTATTTGAATGTAAAAAAGGCCGACTAAGAAACCCTCTGATACGACAGGGTATTGAAAAATAGTTTCCTGTAGCGGGGTTTTGTTATATCCGGAGTTCTTTTATTAACGAAACAGTGCAAATTTTTTTCTAGGGGATTCAAAAATATTACTATAACGGGGGTTTTGTTGTAAGCGAAGTCTTATTAGCCAGATTTCACTGTATAGGAGTTCGTCTTCAACTACTTTTTTTGTTGATGCCCACATACCATTCCTTTAGGAATTACAATTTGAGTACTTTGGGAATTTTTAACTTGTTATTGAGGCCTTTGATATGAATAACATATGAATCAAAATAACTATTATAATGTTCAAACCAGCAACCTTGTATAATGTTTGTTTTCAAATAAATTACAAAAAGAATAATTATAAAAACGCTACCAGCTGATATGAAGACTGCTAAAAGTCTCCGCCTTACACATTAAGAGTGTTGTCTAAACACGACAGTTACATGTCTTCTCTCAAACTCTATGGTCTCTTCGTTTTGCAGTCTCTCTCGTTGATATTGGGAAATGAACGCCCATTTTGATCAAGTCTATTAAGAGGAAGTTGAGAGGGTAACATAATTTAATCAGACATATCGTTATATTCAGTCGCTCGAAAATACTACGGTAACGTTGGAGAGTACGTATTGATTCTGTGCTCCTAATAGTACTTTGGGAGTATTGTCGTTGAACTTGATCTAGTGTCGATTGTTGGATCGCTACTGTTGAGCAATTTGTTTTTGTTGTTGTTCACTTGGACCTAGCTCGCTCTTTGCTACAGTAAAGGCGTATATAATGAAGGATTTTTACAACAGGTAAAATTTTGTTTTGAAAGTTAGGTCTTGCTTTTGTGAAGGTTAAGTCTTAGCTTTGTGAAGGTTAGTTCTTGGTTTCATGAAATAGTCTTGAGTTTATTGTTTTGAAAGTAGAGCAGTACCTAGAAACATTCACATAGATCATCAATAATGTCAGAAATCTGCTCTTATGACAAACAAAATCAAGCGACGGTAATGTTAGGATTAATATAGCGAGACTTGTATTTATATATTTTATCTTTGCTAGATACATCATGCTAGTAGTGCTTATAGGACTAGATTTGCTGTTGATTAAAAGGAGATACAACATTGCAATTGCCATATAACGAGTCGCTCAGTGATTTTAAATTTGTTTGTTATAAAGGAGCTTTTTCATACATGAGTTTTCAATGCCATATGTTCGTTTTTCTTTTCTTTTTCTACCTAGGTAACTAGCTACCTGCAAAGTCATAATCATATGTGATTTTCTATCATTTACCTTACCTTTTCAATTTTTTAAAATTTTTTTTCAATACTCTTAATTTACATTTTCTTCAGCTCACCACCCCTCGTAGCCACCATTGAACCGTTGCACGCGTCGCCAAAGGGCTCTTCCACATCGTCGGCCGAATTCGAGTTGGTGGATCGCTACTGGTCGCCGCATTCCTATAGTCCCAACTCTTTTCTCCCGTCCCCCTTCAATCAAGCCAGAATGCCCAATATCAAGGTGTTCTCGGGCTCGTCGCATAAAGATTTGGCTGTGAGGATTTGTGACCGACTTCAGCTTGATTTGTCCAAGGCTTCGTCGAAAAAGTTTAGCAATAAGGTGGGTGAATTGGCTTGAACTTTGAAGGTTTATGGGAAGGAAAAAAATTTTTTAAAGTTTTGAAAGCAAAAAAATATTTTTTGGAGGTTTCTTGAAAATTACTAAGTCTTTTGATCTACATATCTATTATATCGTGACATTTCAGGAAACAAATGTAGAAATTGGTGAATCAGTCCGAGGCGAAGACGTCTTTATCGTCCAAAGTGGATGCGGCGAAGTGAACGATCAACTGATCGAACTCCTCATTATGATTAATGCCTGCAAAATCGCATCGTGCTCACGCGTCGCCGCCGTGATCCCATGCTTCCCCTACGCGCGACAAGACAAAAAAGACAAATCCAGAGCACCAATCAGCGCAAAACTCGTAGCCAACATGTTATCAGTAGCCGGTGCCGACCACATCATCACCATGGATTTGCACGCTTCACAAATTCAAGGCTTCTTCGACATACCGGTCGATAACTTGTACGCAGAACCAGCGATTCTGAAGTATATTCGAGAGTCGATCCCAGATTGGCAAGAGTCAGTTATCGTGAGTCCGGATGCAGGCGGAGCGAAGCGAGTAACGGCCATCGCTGACAGATTAAATGTGGACTTTGCTCTGATTCATAAGGAGAGGAAACGAGCGAATGAAGTCGAGAAGATGACATTGGTCGGGGATGTGAAGGGTAAATGCGCCATCTTGGTGGATGATATGGCTGATACTTGTGGCACTATCTGTTTGGCCGCTGATAAGTAGGTTTGGGGTGGGGAGGATAAGGTGAAGTTGTTATGGGATTTTATAATTTGTGTAGACGTAGAGCTGAAATAGGTCAACTAGGTTTGGCCTCGGCTCGGTTTAAGACAGGGCAGTGCAGAAGCAAATTTTGAAAGGACCGGGCCGAGTTGGCAAGTGAGGGCCGGGCAGGCTTGGACGCAGGGCAGGGTGCCCTGTACCATGCCCTGTTACAGGGTATGGTAGGGCATGTTTTAAAAATTTTTTACAGGGCATGGTCAAGCTTGGGACAGGGCATGGCATATGCCCTGTATTACCCTGCAAATGCCCTGTTTGTGTCATGGTAAGTTTTGGCGGACGCCTCCGCCGAGCGGTCGATAATCGGCGGGCGCCATAACTTGATTAGTTTAGTAGCTAGAAACATGTAGTTCTTTTCAGAAATTATAAGACGTCATAGGCTACAAATGAGAACATAATTTGAAGATCTTAAATGTAGTATTGATATCGACCGGTTGATAATTTTTAGTATATTTTAATTGCAAATTTTATACATATTCTTATCGCTCTGGTGTTCTAAATTGTATAGAAATTGCATTAGATACAATTCTAAGCAAAAACCTTTGTTTTTTGTAAAAATTAAACATTTGTAAATTATCGACCGGTCGATAACAATATTGTTTTTAAAAACATAAATTATTGGCTTAATGTGTAAATTATAACAGATAACAACTTCTGCACTTAACTAGATGTTTCTAGCTGCTAAACTAACCAAGTTATGACGTCCGCCGATTATCGACCACTCGGCGAAGGCGTCCGCCAAAATTTACCCAAATGCCCTGTAAATACTCTGTAAATGCCCTAATGCCCTGCAGGGCAAGGGCATGGTAGGGCAGGGCGTGAAAGTTGAATGCCCTGTACAGGGCAGGGCACAGGGCATGGCATGGAAATTTGCCAATGCCCTGCCCTGTGTCCAAGCCTGGTCTGACCTTTTGACAGACCTATATAGACTCATCTTTAACCGTTTCAAAAAAAAGACTCTTTTTTAAGCATTTTATTTTTAGGCTAGTCGAAGCAGGCGCGGCCAAAGTGTTCGCCTTCTGCGTTCACGGCGTCTTCTCGGGTCCAGCACTGGATCGCTTGAACAAAAGCTCATTCGAAGCCATTGTCGTGACGAATACGATCCCACAGGAGGAGAATATGAAAAAGTGTTCCAAGATTCAGTGTATCGACATCTCCATGATTTTGGCCGAAGCCATCCGCCGAACTCATAACGGCGAATCCGTCTCATACCTCTTCTCGCACGTTCCTCTATAGAAAGGTGTTCTCTGTTGTCGCAAAGGCATCTTGATAAGGTTTTTTGATTTTTGAAAATTTTTCTGATTTTGGAGGGGCAATTTTTGAAATTTGTGCCCTTTTTGAGGTGTAAAAAGCGATTTTTCGAAGTTTTTGAATGGAAAACTGAAGGATCCATTAATTCTTTCGCTTTTTATGCGAAAAAATTAATGGATCAGGTAAGAAAATTCAAAAAATTTGAAATATGATGACAAACTTTGTGACAATTCCCTTCCCCCTCCTCTTTCTAATAGTCTCTTAATAAAGCCCTGAAGGCAATAGTTTGTAATCAGTAATATATCAGTAAAAATAAGATACGACCCTTTACGGGACCATTGATTTGCCATCAGTTCACGGATTTTATAGCTTTTTTGTTTTTAAAATTAAAAAAAAATTTTAATTTTTTTGTAGCCCGAGAACTTTTGAAACGACTTCTTTTTGACAGTTGATGACTTTGTTTTTGTATTGTCTGACATTGTTGTTGATTTATGTTGTAGTACAACACTTATTTGTTAGGTTATCTTTAGATATGTTTTAGATAGTTATTTTATACAAATGTCACTTATTTCAGTACAATATTTATGGTTATTTTTTGTTTGAAATTGATTTTTTTTGGATTTTGAACTTGTGTTGTTTTGAAGTTATTTTTGTTAATTTGCAGTAGTTTGGAGAAGTAAGGGAAATTGAAAGCTACTATAACATAGAGGTCATAAAACCTACTATAACGTAAATGTTAGGTTATGAAGAAACTGATGAAGGTTCGAAAAAGGAATGTCATTGATAATTTTGGTTTAAAAAAAACTTGGAAATTTTTTTTAGCTCGAAAACTAAATAGAAATTGAATGTTTAGGTCAAAACGTACTCAAAAATGGCGGTTTTTGGTCAAAAAGTAACGGGAAATTGCACTTTTAGTTCAAAAGTTACATAAAAATTTTGGTTTTTTGGTCGAAAAGTAAGGGGAAATAGCATTTTTAGGTCAGAAAATAAAGAAAAATGACGTTTGTAGTTAAAAAAGTTTATAAAAATCGCTTTTTTTGGTTTAAAAATTACAGGGAAATGGCATTCATTAGACCAAAAAGCTTATAAAAATAGCAGTTTTTGGTCAGAAAGTAGAGGAAAATGATACTTTTAGGCCAAAAAGTACAGAAAAATGGCAGTTTTTCACCAAAAAATCAAGATAAATGACACTAAATTTTTTTATTTCAATTTTTCTTACTTCAAGGTTACTGTATATTAACACTATTTTTTAAAATATAATAGAAACCAGATTATATGAAATGGGAATGACACACAATATCAAAGATGGCTCAATTCGATGATTATATTTTTAGGCATTTGCTCGACAATTTTGAAAGTATTTGAAATGAATTTTAATTAAGTAATAAACTTCTATTTGAATTCGAAGTGATTATTTGTTAGATGTACAATGTCGTCTGAATTTGCATACTTCATAATAATAATATAAAATTGTTAACGTGATTTTTAAGTTTACATGCCATTTGTAATTGGATGCTATTTGTATTACGTTCTATTTGACTGGCATTACTTTGGCTGCATAATGCAGTTTTCTTTAATTTATAATACTGCACCGTGCAGTGAATTTGAAGATACTAAGAAGAGTATTTGAAATTGTGGTTTTGCATTAGAAATGAGGATTAAATGTCAATTTTAGAACTAAAATTCTTTTTTTTTGTTTGTTACAAAAAGTTTCGGGCGTTCTGCATAAAAGTCATTTTTTTGTACAGTGCAGGCATAGTTAAAAAATTTTAAATGACATTTTTTAAATATGCCTATAATATAATACGAAAAAATGCTTGTGGCCAAGGGCGTCGCTACGGATTTTTTCTGGAGGGGGGGGTGGGGGTGGAGACCCAAAAAATTTTTTTGGTCCACAGGTAGCAGCTACCTGTGGACCGATATTTCAAAAAAAAAATTTTCGACAGGAGTTCCACTGTACCTATAATTTTGAAAAAAAAACTTTTTAGTTTGCTTTTACCTTTCCCTCTCCCTTTTTAAAAATCTTAATTGTTCTCTGTTTCAGAGCTCAAATGAGACTCTACCATGTGAACCTTTTTCTCACGACCGTGTTTCTGTGCCTCAGCGCCGCCTACAGCCAAAACTTTGAAACGGGTGACAATAGTACTGTGATCGGATGTTCGTAAGTTGTTTTACCATAGTATCTTGTAATATATAATGTAATGTAAATCGATTTTAGTTATTTTACATTAAAAATGCTAGATTAATATGGTATTTTTGGTCGAAAAGTAGGGAGAACTAACTTTTATGTTCAAATTTGATGTTGTTTTTGATTTTTACGTCTATATTTTAAGTATAAAATGTATTTTCTATAAACTTTTTGACCTAAAAATGTCTTTTCTACAAACTTTTGGACCAAAAAATTACTTTTGTATAAACTTTTTGACCTAAATTGTCATTTTATATTGTTTCAGATCCCACTGCTCATTCAGAGATGAAGATCTATCCTGTTACAATACGACACTACAGTTCTTCGAACATATTCTCCTTGGTCACATGAGGCATTACGTTTCCGTCCAAATGAACATTGACCAATGGAACCGAAGGCACCAAAAGGACTATAAACCCGACTTTGTTGGGATGAAGGAACGGTCCACTAAAAGGTTATGTAAGTTGGTTTTGGGAGGGTTTTGTTTGAAATGGCTGACTTGAAAGCGGGTTCACTAGGCTCGGCCCGACCTTACTGGGCCAGGTCGAAAAAGCTTTAAAAAGAGCCGGGCCGGATTGTGTGGGATCGGGGGCCAGGCTCAAAGTAAAGCCTCAAGGGCCCAACTCATAATTATTAAATATAAATTTGATATGCGAGTGGATAAAAGTTAATTCTGCCAATATTTAAGTATCATTCCTTCGAGAAGATGATGTCATAACAAAAGAAACGGTAACCACGGTAGTGTCAGAACTAATGGAACAAGTAGCTGAAAGATCAGATCATTTAATCAGCTGGACTCCTCATTACAGGTAATTTTACTTTTTTTATTTTTGAATATTTAGACGCGGCATTAAAGTTTTAAGTTTAAACTTTAAGGCGCTGCATAAGACTTCAGAATATCTGCACGGTGCAGTGATTAGTTCTTTGCACCGTGCAGTTTTTGTAACAACTTTAGTATCAGATAACCTTTTTTTAAATATGGGGGTCGTAAAATGGAAAACTTAAAAATAGTTGAATTTTAAATCTTATTTATTACTCAAAATATTAAAAATTCTTGAAAAAATACAATCAAAGATAATATTATTATTGACAAGATTACAATACAAAATACAAAGTACAACAGAAATAAAACAATCCTGAGTAATTTGAACTAAATCAACTTAAAGTTGCCGTTTATGAATTCAGACGTCTTTATACAAAAAGAAAGGTATATAATACAATTGAAGTCTAATAAAAATCATTTTTACTTAAAAAATTTAAAAATGCCATTTTTAAAAAATAACTGTAGCAAACTTAACTCAATGACATTTACAATAGAAAACCTTACATACGACCCGTAACAAGCTTTTAATGAAGAAAAAAGGAATCATATGATATGACAAATCGAGCTACTGTAATATACAACAAAACATTAATATAGAGCAATAAAGCTATTATATTAGCTAACATATTAGAAAAACATTGAAAATCTAAGATAATATAGTCATGTTCTAAATAGTATCAATCCTCATTTATTTTACGGCAAAACAAATCTAACACCACCGAAATCCACCACCTGATAAGTGACTAAACTTTGTTGAAAAGGCGGTGGTATCCTCACACCTGGTCGTTCTGCCATTGAGTTTAAAAAAGAATTGGCACGTTGAACACATTCCAAGTGAAACGTCCCTTTCTCGTGCTTTGTCTTCCCTTGACTTTGTCCACCGTTGAATTTGCGAAAGTTTATAAACGGCGATTTGATCAGCTTATCAGACTTTGAAGCTTCCGCCGGACCTTCTTTATCTGACGCGAAGATGGCACATGCTCGACAGTAGATCCCTTTGTCTTTTACTGAGTAGCTAAAGTAGTTGTGGGCCTTTTCCGGATCGAAATACGTCCTTCCGAGCCGTTCGCGAACGATTCGGGCACCTCTTTTGCGTTCAAACGTTGGCCATTCCTAAAGTCATGGATATTATTCATGGTTTGGTCTTCTTTGGATCTTATACGGATCTCAAAATATGCGAATTTTTTAGGAAGAGGATCACAAGACCTTATTCTCGCTATTTAAATCAATAATATTTAGGATTTACTCAAAACAGAGGAGTTTATGGCTAAAACATATGATGCTCCTAACGTCTTTGGTAAGGTGGATTTTTTCAAGCTTCTCTAGTCTTAAAAAGGCTAATTTTGGCATCAATACGTTTGCAAGACTCTTTTCTAGTCATATTGATGAGAAAATTGTTCAAACTTTCTCAAAATGCAACAACTTTATCAAAAACTATCAGACCTTCAGATTATTGATGAACCTAAACCAAAAACAACCAAAGAAAACAAAAAACTCACTGTATAATCCTCGTCAGGAGTATAAGGCTCTGTAAAGAACTTTAATTTAGAATAGGCGTCCGGTTGATGTCCATTTTTCAAGATCTCAACGTACCTTCCAATGTCCCAGTTTGGGTCGCGGTAGTTTGGCTGATATGAGGTTGAAGAATCGGCTTGTTGCTTGTCGAACTCCTCTAGTCGAGCATATTTCTGGTCAGAAAAGCTGGTCGATGGTTCACTGGTCCTTTTGGGCATGGTTCAGATATTGATCTTGGTTGAAAAAAAATAGAAAAAAGGAATAAAAAGAAGAGAAACAGACGGCTTGTGTCAAGTGTTTCTTTTTTTGAAGGTTGGGTCGAGTGTCGCTTTTATGGGTCAGGTCTAGTTATTACAGGGGAATAAAGAGGAAAATGTAAAGTAAATGTAAAACCGTATAGTAAAGAAAGAAAATTTTTTTGTAAAAGGTATCTTTTTTGTAATTATGCTGAATAAAATGAAAAAAGATAATATTATACACCACAATTTTCAGTTGCCCAATTCCTTGTGAATATAAACATACAGTATGGCGAAACTTATTTATTATCTCCATTTTGGTCAATTTATGCTTGATTGCCGCGGTTTTTCCGTATATTGTACGTATGGCCAGAATGCGACGTGGTGATGCATTACTGCGTCAATAACTTGATATATGATAACAAAATGGTGTTAATGTCTGCTTGCTTTCATGGTTTGAAGTTTTATATATATTATATTACGATATTATCATGGATATTACAAGAAAATTACTAATATGGTTTTGGTAATAACTTGTTTGATATGTATGTTAAGATAGTCATCAATTTCCAAGACAGATAGACAATATTGTTAACAACATTGTACTAGTACTATACTGGTCTTACAAGTCACAACATAAGTTTATAATTCTAATTTTTTAATCCCTTGCCAATGCTACAAGTTGCTGCAATATACCATACTATTTCCAATTTTTTTTCAAATTTTCCAGTCTAATATGTGCCTTGAATGCTTTATTTTACCTCTAATAAACTTTACAGTACAATAATTTTTTAATCACGGTATAATGCAAGTTCTCAAAATATTATTTATTGATTAATATATTAGTTAAAACCATGGCTAGTACAATATGGAATCTTATAAAACTAAAAAGTGGCCAATGTTAAGTTAGAAAGGCAAAACAAGCTAATTCTTGAAGTAAAAAATGGTATTTAGATTGCTTAAATTACTAAAAAAATGTATTTTTGTTCAACTGTACATTGAGTTTGTGCCATATCAACTGTAACATAACGACATTTAAGGATCCCACCACGAAAACAAGAATTGGCATTGTGTCTACAAGTTGTCGGAAAAAGTCATTTTCATTTGCTGAAGTTTCGACTTTTCCTTCGCGTCGGGGTTTTTTCGTGTAAGTTTGATGTTTTGATAGTAAATGTTCGTATTTACTGTCAATTTTGTATCAATAACATTGTTTTTCAGGACTTTCATCATGTTGAACATGAAGATTGAGCGTTGCCGAAGATGTAGATCGATGGAGAAGATGAGAAATTGCATGAAAAGATGCACAGGTGGATGATAGTTGATTGGAACAATGGCAAAAGGTATGTGTATTTGGGTTTTGATTTGTTTTTAGGGTTTCTGAGGAATGAAAGAAAGATTTTATATTATACTTGGTGCGGAAGATGCATTTAGTCGTTGTTAGGTCATTTTTGAACGAATCGTGTAAAATGTTAGGTTATTAGAAGCTTTTTAGTTTGAGTTACGTGTAGAATAACGTTCAGTTGGTATATTAAAACAACGTATTGAACGTTTTAATAGGATCATGTAGTTACTGATGGACTTTTTTGTGTTTGGAGCTGTATTCGAATGTATAAATAGGTTATTTTAAGAGTAGGTGTGAAGTTACAGTTTCATTTACGATAGTGTTTAGTGACAAAGATTTATATTGCTTGGTTTTAGAGATATGAAAGTTTTGTCATATTACACTAAACATTTGATGACCAATTGAACTAAAATAAGGTTAATTTATGTTACCTTGCGCATTATTAGCTTGTAAAACATTTGAGAGATGTCGATTAATGTGTTCAATGTTTTAGCAAAGAAATACTTGATTTAACACGGTTAAAGATTAATTTTGGACGGTGGCGTTGATCTTCATCTTGGTTCACGAGTTCGAAGCCGGAAAAGGCGTCAGTTGGCTGTAACATGGTATGATTATTAAGACGATAAATGACGGATTATAAACATGATTTGTGTAAGTTTATTTTTGTTTTGGTTTTTCTGTTTTTAGACTGATGCAGGTTATTTTGTCAAATATTGACTATTAGAAGCATAAATAATATCAGTTTTGCTGATTTATGGTATTTTCAGATGTTCTTTTTGCTAAATCTTGTTAACAGCCTCAGTGGACTTTGCAAAAGCTTCTGGACATCATGCTGGGACCTGTCTTCAACTGTCGGCCAGTTGTGGTCTTCAGGAGTTGTCGGATTCAGCTACATCCTGTTTGATCTCTACAGCGTTGAACATAAAAGATATGAGAAAGGTTGGTTTACTCTTTTTGACGAAATTTATACTGTTGAAGCTTTTGAAGTTATTGTTGTTAGAAATGGGGAGTTTAATTTTTGTGGTCTAAATTATATTATCCATGAGCCTGAGATGTCTAAAACAATATCAATTTTTGGGTTTTCTGTTGCTTAATGAATGTTTGATGATTACACTTTGAATTTTGTTACCATTTGATTATTTTTTTACCAAAATTCGTCTTTTTTAGTTTTTTTCAATATGATATTGACATAGAAGTCTTGGTGTCATGGATAATATTTTAATGTCTTTAATAGATGTTGAAATGATGTTTTGTTGTGTTACGGTAGATTTTGCTTTGTTTCTTGTTATCTTATAAATATTTTAAAGCTAAAATTTCTTTTTTATAAAGTTTGGGAGCTGAGATACGAGGCAAAATATCAGATCAGCTCATGAATAATATCATTTTTGGGGAAATAATTAAAAACGTTGGCTTATCTTACTATAGTTAATAACTTTAGTTATCTCAATGTAATGGTTGATTATTTTAGAAGGTGTTTACGTAATATGGACGTCCTATACAACTCCGTTCGATGGTTCCAGTCAATTTTATACTGTGCACAATGAATTAGGCCGAGATGAAGAAGCCCGTAAAATCTTTTAGGGCAGATAATCTAATGTCATTTTCATTGTTTCTTTGTGTTTCTGATGTCATTTTGTTTGTTTCTTTGTATTTCGCGTGTTATTACCTTTATTTACCGCGTTGTAGAGGTGGGTCTCTGTACCGTCCCCCTTCTGATGGATTCGGTTCCTAGCTAGGTTAGGAGGAGGTCCAAGAGCAAGGTTGGGGCGACAGGTCTGATGACAAGTTACAGGTGGTCGTTGCTTTTGGAATTTTAAAATGGTTTGACTTAACTAAATTTTTAATTTTCGGCCGAAAATTGATTCTTTGAAAATTTTTATAATGTTTAAGGTTCAAGTCTTGTTTTTGCTTCTAAAATACGGATTTTGTTCCAAAAAATTGAAATGAAATCTATTTTTGATAGTAAAAGGTAACTTTGAAGGGTAACTTGAATTCAGATCTGTCGTACCTCTTTGCACAGTGCCTGGTATACTCTGACTGGCACTTTCGGCCGAAGACTGGTCGGAAATTGGATGGAAAATTAATTTTGAAGTTCTTTGGACACAAAAGCTGATTTTTATTTTTAAAACTTGTAAATTTTTAAGTTCCTTACAAAATGTTTGTTTTTTTTAACTTTCTGTTGCTCGAATCTTGTAAAATTTCGTTTTTTGGTCGCAAAATTTGCATTTTCTTATTCCTAAAGCTATTTTGACCAAAAAACTTTCTGTCCATTTTTGGTCCAGTCTCTGGTTGGATTTGCTTCATCTTTGTCCCTGCCAGGTACGCCTTGGATGTTGTCCTAACTGTTCGCGAAGGCCGTTTTCAGGAGGAAGCTCGGTGGTCGGAGATATCACCCGCGGGGGAAGGGGTTTAAACCCTTTACCCCTGGGGTAGTGGCAAGTCCCGCTTGGTACCCCAAAGTAGGAGGGACTTTGGCGTCCACCACCCCCAGAACACGGGGCCATGCCCAATTTTTTACTGAATAAATATTAAATCAAAGCAAGTATGGCTGCATATTTTTATTTTATTAACGTTTCCTCTGAGTGAGGAAGGAGGTATGGGTTCCTCCCTTCCCCTAGGTGAAGTCGCTGACCACCGAGCTCTCCTGACTTCTCGGACTTCGCGAACAGTTACGACAACATCCAAGGCGCACCTGGCAGGGACAAAGATCAAGCAAATCCAACCAATGACCGGTCGAAAAATGGACAGAAAGTTCTTTTTGGCGAAAAAAATGCTTTCAAACGACAAAAATCAATTTTGCCATCAAAAACGAAATTTTACAAGATTATAGTAGTTTTAACAATTCTAAAGAAAATTTTTGATAAATTCGAGAAACCGAAAATCTAAAAATTTTACGCCAAAAATAAGACCTTCAATGTTTAGAAAAAGAAATCAGCTTTTGCGTCCAAAAACCTTAAAAATTAACTTTCCATTCAATTTCCGATCAGTCTCCGGCCGAAAGTGCCAGTGAGAGTATACCAGGCACTGTGCAAAGAGGTACGACAGGTCTAAATCCAAATTGCCCTTCAAAGTTATCTTTTACTATCAAAAATAGATTTCATTTCAATTTTTTGGAACAAAATCCGTATTTTAGAAGCAAAAACAAGACTTGAACCTTAAACATTATAAAAATTTTCAAAGAATCAATTTTCGGCCGAAAATTAAAATTTAGTCAGGTCAAAACTTTTAAAATTCAAAAATTAATGGCCATTTATAACTTGTCATCAGACCTAACGTCCCAACCTTGCTCTTGGACCTCCTCCTAACCTAGCTAGGAACCGAATCCATCAGAAGGGGGCACGGTACAGAGACCCACCTCAACAACGCGGTAAATAAAGTCAAAACACGCGAAATACAAAAAATAAAATAAAATGACATCAGAAACACAAAGAAATAAAAAAATGAAATCAGGTTCTCTGCCCTAAAGATTACAGGCTTCTTCATCACGGCCTAATACATCGTGAACGGTATTCAGAACGTCCACTGTAATCATCAAACAGAGCCGTACTGAACGTCCATGTTACGGAGACACCTTCTGAAATACGCAAAAATTACAATGAGATAACAATCATTATTAAATGTAGTAATATTAGCCAAAGGT